TGTGCTATTGCACCACTCCTAGGTCAAAGAAGAAATAAAAAAAGAAACTAAAAACTTCTTAGAATTCAACGAGAATGAAGACACAACATCCAAACTTATGGGACACTTTGAAAGCAGTGCTAAGAGGAAAGCTCATAGCACTAGGTGCCCACATGAAGAAACTGGAGAATAGTTACACTAGAGAATTAACAGTACAGCTGAAAGCTCTAAAACACAAAGAAGAAAACTCACCCAGGAGGAGTAGACGTCAGGAAATAATCAAATTGAGGGCTGAAATCAATAAAGCAGAAACTAGGAAAACAATACAAAGAATCAATGTAACAAACAGTTGGTTGTTTGAAAAAATCAACAAGTTAGACAAACCTTTCTTCAAACTCACCAAACAGCAGAATGTGAACATGCAAATTAACAAAATCAGAAATGAAAAGGGGGACAGAAAAACGGACACTGAGGAAATCCAGAGGTCATACTTTGAAAACCTGTACTCCACAAAATTCGAAAATTTAAAGGAAATGGAAGAGTTCCTGGATAGATATCACCGGCCAAAATTAAATCAAGAACAGATAAGCAATTTAAATAGACCTATAACACCTAAGGAAATAGAAGTAGTCATCAAAAGTCTCCCAACCAAAAAAAGACCAGGGTCAGGTGGCTTCAGTGCAGAATTTTACCAGAAATTCAAACAACAGCTTATACCAATTCTCCTCAAAGTATTCCATGCAATAGAAGCAGAAGGGTCTTTGCCAAACTCTTTTTACGAAGCTACAATAACCTTGATCCCCAAGCCACACACAGACACAACTAAGAAAGAGAACTTCAGACCAATTTTCCTCATGAACATTGATGTAAAAATACTCAATATAAATACTGGCAAATCGGATCCAAGAACACATCAGAAAACTCATCCATCATGATCAAGTGTGCTTCATTCCAGGGATGTAGAGATGGTTCAACATACGAAAATCTATCAATGTAATCCACCATATAAACAAGCTGAGAAATAAAAATCACATGATCATCTCACTAGATGCTGAAAAAGCCTTTGACAAAATCCAACATCCCTTCATGGTAAAGGTCTTGGAGAGATCTGGAATAACAGGAACATACCTAAACATAATAAAAGGTATATATAGCAAACCAACAGCCAACATCAAAATAAATGGACAGAAACTCAAGGCGATTCCGCTAAAATCAGGAACAAGACAAGGTTATCCCCTCTCCCCATACCTCTTCAATATTGTACTTGAAGTTCTAGCTAGAGCAATAAGACAACAAAAGGAGATCAAGGTTATACAACTTGGAAAGGAAGAGGTAAAACTTTTACTATTTGCAGATGATATGATAGTTTACATAAGTGACCTAAAGAACTCTACCAGGGAACTCTTACAGCTGATTAACACCTTCAGCAAAGTGGCAGGCTACAAGATCAACTCAAGAAAATAAGTAGCCTTACCATATACAGATGATAAAAGGCTGAGAAAGAAATCAGAGAAACATCACCCTTTACAATAGCCACAAACAACATAAAATACCTTGGGGTAACGCTAGCCAAACAAGTGAACGACCTGTATTGCAAGAACTTTGAATTTTTAAAGAAAGAAATTAAAGAAGACACCAGAAAATGGAAAGATCTCCCATGCTCTTGGATAGGTAGGATCAATGTAGTAAAAATGACAATCCTGCCAAAGCAATCTATAGACTCAATGCAATCCCCAACAAAATTCCAGCACAATTCTTCACAGACCTTGAAAGAACAATTCTCAACTTTATATGGCAAAACAAGAGACCCAGGATAGCCAAGACAACCTTACTCAACAAAGCAACATCTGGAGGCATCACCATCCCTGACTTCAAGCTCTATTATAGAGCTGTCGTCCTGAAAACAGCTTGAAATTGGCACAAAAATAGACAGGTAGACCAATGGAATCTAATTGAACACTCTGAGATTAATCCACAAACCTACAAACAGCTGATTTTCGACAAAGAAGCTAAAATTATACAATGGAAAAAAGATAGCATCTTCAACAAATGGTGCTGGCATAACTGGATATTGGAATGCAGAAGACTGAAGGTAGGTCCATGTCTATTGCCATGCACAAAATTTAAGTCCAAATGGATCGAAGACCTCAACATAAATCCAGCCACACTGAACCTGTTAGAAGAGAAAGTGGGAGGTACCCTTGAATGAATTGGTACAGGAGACTGCTTCCTGAACATAACACCAGTAGCACAAACACTGAGATCAACAATTAATAAATGGGACCTTCTGAAACTGAGTAGCTTCTGTAAGGCAAAGGACACAGTCAGGAAGACAAAAAGGCAACCCACAGATTAGGAAAAGATATTCACCAACTCCACATCTGACAGAGGGCTGATCTCCAAAATTTACAAAGAACTCAAGAAGCTATTCTCCAAAACACCAAAGGACCCAATTAAAAAGTGGGTGACTGAATTAAATAGAGAATTCTCAATAGAGGAGTCTAAAAGGGCTGAGAGACACTCGAGAAAGTGCTCAACATCCTTAGCCATTAGGGAAATGCAAATCAAAATAACTCTGAGATATCATCTTACTCCTGTCAGAATGTCTAAAATCAAAAACACTAATGACAGCTTATGCTGGAGAGGATGTAGAGAAAGGGGAAGACTTGTCTATTGCTGGTGGGAGTGCAAACTTGTACAGCCACTTTGGAAATCAGTATGGAGATTCCTCAGGAAAATGGGAATCAGTCTACCACAAGATCCAGCAATTCCACTCTTAGGCATATACCCAAAAGATGCCCACTCATATAACAAGGATGTCTGTTCCACTATGTTCATAGCAGCATTATTTGTAATAGCCACAACCTGGAAGCAACCTAGATGACCCACAATTGAAGAGTGGATAGAGAAAATGTGGTACATTTACACAATGGAGTACTACTCAGTGGAAAAAAACAATGAAATCTTGAAATCTGCAGGCAAATGGATGGCACCAGAAGAAACCATCCTGAGTGAGGTAACCCAGTCACAAAAAGACAAACATGGTATGTACTCACTCATATATGGATTTTAGACATGGATCAGGGAGTGTCAGCCTATAATTCTAGGGCTAGTGAGTTTGGGAAACAGGGAGATTCACAAGAGAGATGCATTATACCTCAGAGAAGCAGAAAGAGGCAAGATCTCCTAAGCAGATTGGGAACATGGAGGGAGAGAAGAGGGAACTAGGAAAAAGAGATGGGGGTAAGAGGAGGGTAGAAGAAGACACGGGAGAGCAGGAAGGTTGAGCCGGGGTAAGAATAAGGAGACCAGGATGAGAGGTACTATAATAGTTGGAGTCATTATAGCTTTGAGGAGAGAGCTGACACCAGCGAGTTTTCCAGAGATTTACAAGGATAACACCAACTGGAAAACTAAGTAATAGCGGAGAGACTACATTAATAGCCCCTACCTAATGATAAGGTTGATGACTTCCTTATATGACATCCTAGAACCTTCATCTAGTGACTGATGGAAGCAGAGAAAGATACTCACAGATAAACTCTGAACTGACCCGCAGGAATCCAGTGACAGAGACGGAGGAGTGATGAGCAAAGGGGTCAAGACTGTGCTGGTGAAACCCACAAAGACAGCTGACTGGACAAGGAGGAGCTCTTGAACCCCAGACTGATGCCTAAGAGGCCAACAGGGGACTGATCCAAACTCCATGAATGTAATGCCAGTGAGGAGGCCTCAGAAATCTCTGGGGCCTTGGGTAGTAGATTAGTGTTTACCATGGCATACAAATGAACTTTGGGAGCCCATTCCACATGGAAGGATGCTCTCTCAGCCTGGACACATGGGGAAGGGCCTAGGTCCTGCCCTGGATGAAATGACAAGACTCTGGAGATCCCAAGGAGGGCCTCACCCTCAATGGGGAAAGATGTGGAGATTGGGCTGGGGGTGGGGGGGGATGGGGATGGGCCTGGGAGGGAGAAGGGGGAGGAGCTGGGATTGACATTTGAAGCATGCATGTTTCTAATTTAAATAAAAAGTGTTTTCATTTGTGCGCACATTTGCTCAATTGATGTTTCTCATTACTATATAGCTTTTGACTTAGTATACTTATAAGTACAACTGTATATTTACAATTTCATCTTAGAAACTAGACTAAACTCTAGTATATAAAAGAAATTTTGGTTTTTAAAAAAGGAACATAGATATAAAAATACTCAACAAAAATATTATCAAACCTACAAGTGTGGTGGCACATATCTTTACACAGAAATTAGGAAGTAAAGGCAGGAGATCTCTGTGAGTTCAAGGCCAGCCTAATTTGCAACAGAGCTCTAGGCCATCCATAGCTACACAGTGAGACCCTGTCTCCCAAAACAAACAAACAAAAATGAATTGAAGTTCTCATATTTTATTAGTATAAATGCAAAATGGTACAACTTCTGGAAAATAACTTGTTATAAATTTAAATACACATTTACATATGGTTTGAAATGCTACTCTTAGAGAAATAAACACTTTTTATCTGTATAAAACTATATATGCTTTTAGCTCTATAATCATCACAATTGGAAATAGCAATCTTCTAATGGGTAAAAGTATAAATGAGCTAATACATCTAGGCAGCAGACTACTCAGCCTTTAAAAGGAACAAAATACAGACACATGAAAGAACTTGGATGCATATCAAGAGTACTTCACTGAGTGAAAGAAATCACTCTCAGAAGGGTACACGCTCTATAATTCCACTTATATAACAGCTCCAAAGAGACAAAAGTGTAGTTTTGGAGAATAGTGGCCAGCCATTAGAATATGTGACTACCACAAGAAAATAACCTGAAAGGACTTTTTAGATTATCTATGTCTAGATTGTGATGATGGAGATATATCACACACACACACACACTCACACACACACACACACTCACACACACTCACACACTCACACACACACACTCACACACACACATATAAATTATAAGCCTAGACACATTAATTTAGAAATAAAAATACTTATGACAACTATGTTATTTGCATCTTAGTTAAATGTATTCAAAGAATCTCTTTAGAATAGAACTGTTTACACCGTAACTACAGTACCATTATTTACAGTGCCATGGGCCACATTTTACAGTGTACTTTGCAGTTCATAGACCTTATGAAAAAATTTTGTTCAAATATCAACTAAGAAAAAAATGATTTTACTGTCAAAAATGCTCAGTACACAGAAAGTAAAATAACATGTTTCAGTGATCTTTACTAAGGCTGAACGTGCAGATGAAACATTAACAAGTATCTGTCAGTTTTTTGCTTTGTTTTGTTTTTTAACATAAGAAGATTTGGTTTTGCAAAGACATTAATAGTGACAATAAAGTTATTAAATATTAAATATAAAAGTTAAATGACCCAGAACCAGACTAAAAGTAACTCAGGTAATTTAAAACAAGTTCTGTAAATCTTTAAGGTATTAGATTAAAACCCAGGGAATTAGGTACTATCGATGATGATACAAAGTAGATTAAATAAACTAATGTCTACAAGTAAGAAAATATCAACTATTCATTAACCCCACAAACTTTAATAATCCAATGTAAAACAGTCTTTTTAAAAAACCCTTGAATGTTTCCTGGAGCTACACTGCATTTTATAATGTATCCTAAACACAATCTAAATGCAACACTCAGATCAGGGCAATGATAAATGCCATACATTCAAATCAGTTAAGTTAAAAAAATGACTTAACTGTCCCCACATAGGTTTCCAACTCTGGCTGTGATTGTTCTGCCCTCTGGAGAGAAAATGGGCCAGACCACCTGCTGCTTCCAGATAGCTTCTGCAGCAAACTGAACAGTCTATACAGAAGTGCCAGTGATGGCATAAACCTGCATGCTCTGGATTTCTTTCACAACTTATGGAACATTGGTCCCACTGTGGCTATAATATCTGCATAGGGAACACTCTGGCTCAGCTCAATAGCTTGATGTTTTTTCAGGATAAGAAAGGTATAAAATTTGGCAGCTGCCTGTTTTCGGCCACTATTTCTGCATAGTTTGATCAGACTAAAGGATTGCATTCCCATCTTGTTGTATTCCTGGGAAAATAATTAGAAAAGAGAAAAGAAAAGGGAAAATTATTAGAAGTAGAACAGTCTGTGGATGCATGATGAACAACAGTTTTTGCAGTTTTTGATGTTACTATGATATCTTGAAAAAGAGAATGACTCCAATAAGCATGTAAAAGCATAGATCACTGAGACCAAACCTGTTTTACTGAGAAAATGCACACAAACTACTAAGTTTTATACAAATGTACATGTTATATAAATGTTAGTTTTTAAAAACTGACATTAACGTAAGTTTCTTATGGAAAGTGCAATTAGTTTTATCTTACAAATAGGAAGCCCCACAGGACTTTGTAAGGTATCACATATATTGAATCATCAGTCATTGCCTGTCTTTGCCTTAAAGGCATTAGAGATGCCTGTGAAATAACCTTTGTGGTAAATATGGAAGTGCATTTGCAGGTTTCAGTGACAGGGGAACTTAGCTATGTAAGCATCTCCTGGTTGTAGTCATCACATGGTGCCTGCGTACCTACTAGAAATAAGTGAGATACAATATAGTATTCAATTGTGGAGGAAGGTAGCACCTTTACTAAAGACTTGTATTTGGAATCAGATTCTTACAAAAGTATAGTTTTTATTTAGTCAGAAATACTAGACCAAATGCTTGCCAGTATCTTATGTCCATCATACTTCTGGGATGATTGTAGAGCACTTTTAGTAATGCCGACACAGTTTTTGACAGTCTAAAATATTTGATTACTAGGCAAAATATTTCATTGTGCAGCAAGCAACAAGAAGGAAGTCTAATTAATAAAATATTTTATGTGTTTGGGTGTTTTGCCTGCATGTATGTTGCATACTGTGTGTGCCTGGTGACTGTGGAGGCCAGAAGAGGGTGTCAGATCTCCTGGAACTGGAGTTACAGATAGTTGTAAGCCACCATGTGGATACTGGGAATCAAACCTGGGTCCTCTGCAAGAGCAAGCGGTCTTAGCCACTGAGCTATCTCTCCAGCACCTGGAAGTTTAAAATTTTAAAACTCCTAGAATATGAAGATGGTGATTAAAACTATACAATACAAAGGAATACAATGAACTTGATAAAACAAACAAACAAACCACTGAGTGCCTCATCATGAAATTTCAGAGCATTGGGGACAAAGAAAAGATCTAAAAGCTTTCACACAGAAAATAAAGATCACCACAGAAGATCATAAAACAAGACAGTGTATGGCTTCAATAACAACACAGAATCCTAGATATGTTACAAAATTTTATCAGATAAAGTATTTCCAAGTTGTATAAAGACAACCAATCAAACTCAAGTTAAAAATAAACAGATCTTCAGGCTTTGTTTGAAAAGTGGTATCACCTACACACCATTTATTTTGAGAAGTTATGAGATAGTACTAATAAAAAAGATTTAAGGTAAAAGAACAAAGCACAAACAGAGAAACTAAGAGGAGATAAGGAATTTTCCATGTTTGTGATAAAGGAATGTCTCAAGACAAAAGTTGTGAAGACATAAGAGTAACTTTATGGGTTAGACCAAGAATATAATGAGATACAAATGGACAAGTTATCTCTGAGGAGAAAGTAGGGAACTAATAGGTCAATGGCACATAATAAGAGGTTTTATTAAATTGTCAAAGATTTGAAAAAATAATTATGGATAATTACATAGACATTAAGGAATAATAAAGGGCTAGAGAGATAACCCAGTGGTGAAGAGCACTGGTTATTCTTGCTGAGGACCAGGATCACTCTCAGAACCCACATGAAGAGTCACGATCATCTTTAACTCCAATTTCAGGTAATCCAACACCCTCTTCTGGTCTTTGCAAGCACTGCATGCACAGGCTGAACATGCATACATGCAGGTAAAGCAACCTTTTTTAAAAAGAGGTAATAAACCAAATAATACAACCATAAGATTTACATGAAAATAACTGTAATCACACTATGATGCCTCAGTGAAAACTGATTATTTATATAACCTTTGAAACAGAGACTGACAGTTACCCTTTAGTAACCTCTTCTATGTTTAACCCTAGGCATATCATTCAAAACCATTTCACTCCAGTAGACTTTGGTTGTTATCAACAAAAACATAAAATATTTTGTTTTCATAAATATAGATGTCCAAATCAATATGTTATTTACTTTTTAGAATAAACATCTAGAGCCATGGAAATAGTTCAATGGATAAAGTGCTTGCTCTGCAATTATGAGGACTGGAGTTCATATCTACTCAGAGACAAGGATTCTCAATAGTAGACTGGCTAGAATCAGTAAACTCTGGGGTCAGTGGGAGGCCTTGTCTCAGGAAATAAGGAGGAGAGTGACTGAGGAAGCCATTTGATATTTATTTCTGGCCTACAATATATAAGTACCTGCACATACATGTATCACCTACTAGAACATGCATATACATGTATATACATGCTACATATGCATATACACACAAAAATAAATAAAATGAAAATACCATCTTACCCGTAATTCATTTAATGTCTGAAATAATCTTTGATTCCATTTCTCTGCCTCAGTATTTTGTTGGCTGCCTGATGACTCCTGGTTGAATAAATATTCGTCTAAGCACATTTTATTGATTTTTTTTTTACTATTCACCAAGCACTGCATTAGCTACTACAGAAACACAACTGTAACACAGTCCTGCTCTAAAAATGTCTAGTTTGATGAAGAGGAGAATGACACAAACAGTTTCAGTTTCCTCAAAATTAAAACATTTATCCTACAGGAAAGCTAAGTAACTGGCACACATACTCCTATAAGCAACCCCAATAAAACTTGTTGGTTCACCAAGCTGGACTTTGGCAGTATCTGTACTTTGATCTATTGTGGGTTCCCTGTCTGGGGTGAGTAGACATGTGTATTGTGTATCCCCAGCAAAAGTTTTGTCACACAACAAAAACCTGTGTAGAGTTGTACCCCGCCTCAGAGAATGTCTTCTGATAAAGAAATCCAAAGCAGGAGACTGTGTAGCTTTTACTGGTGATGTAGCTCAGAGCTATGCCCTTAAGTACTTTGAAAAGTAAAATTCACAAAGTCAGTCTCTTTTGGCCAATCTGAATTCCAGTGACAGGGTAAAGGGCAAAACTATAGAAAATCTGTCATTGCAAGGCCTGTAGATGAATTTAGCTGATGAAATAAAACACCTTTAAAAATGTTTTAAGAGATATTTCAGGCCGGGCGGTGGTGGCGCACGCCTTTAATCCCAGCACTCGGGAGGCAGAGGCAGGCGGATCTCTGTGAGTTCGAGGCCAGGCTGGACCGACAGCCTCCAAAACAATACAGAGAAACCCTGTCTCATCAAAACCAAAAAAAAAAAAAAAAAAAAAAAAAAGAGGTATTTCAGAGTTTGAGGTACTTTATCTACATAAGGCTAATTCACTGCCTGTCAGGTCATCTGATTGGTTTACTCTATTTTGTCTTTTAAACTGAATCACTTCCAGAGACAGCTTGGTATTTAGTCTAATCTCTTACAAACTGACATTGTATGAGCTGAGAATGGGGTCTTGGTTCATGAAAGAGTTTGATCTGGCTGATCAAAACAACAGTAATGATAACATCAAGGAAAACAGAACAGGCTACAAAGGGCTGTGGGTGAAAAGTGACAGTTGTAACTTACTTTATCAGTTTTCCTAGACTTTGCTCTGACAAAGCAAAGAAACAATTAAGAGGCTATAAGAAGGCACAGTAGTTAAAAGTGCTTACTGCCCCTGAAGAGGACCTGGGTTAGGTTCCCAGAATCACATCATATTTATAACCTCAGTTCCTAGGGATCAAATGGCCTCTTCAGTCACCTGTATGCACATAAATTCATGTAGGTATACACATATGCACATAAATAAAAATAAATCTAAAAATTAAACACCAGGACTTAATAGGTGGTTTGATAGATTTACTAAACATCTTTTGATAAAATTTCTTTAAATTAAATGACCTCAGTACTCTGGGATAAGGTTCAAAGTAACTCGGGTTGGAAAAATGACACTGGCCACTCTTCCAGAAAACTTGGGTTTGATTCCCAGCACCTGCATGGTGGCTTACAACCACCTGCTACTGCAGTTCCAGGGGACCAAACACTCTCTTTTGGCTTCCTAGGGACCAGGAACATATATGGTGTACTTTCATACAGCTAAAACACTCATACATATAAAAAATTTTAAGTCTTAAATGATTTATTTTTATGTGTATGCATGCAGGTGTGTATCTTTAAAAAAGTAAGCCAAGCAGTGAAGGCACACACCTTTAATCCCACTACTCGGGAGGAAGACCTCTGAGTTCAAGGCCAGCCTGGTCTACAAAGTGAGTTCCAGGACAGACACAGGGAGTCAGTGAGTCAAATCTCTGGATATGCTATCAAAACATTAAAGCAGACCACTGTCTGATTTTAAGCATGTTCATTTTCTGATTTTAAAACTTTCATAGAGATACAGGTTTTGTGCCAAAGAGGTTCTCACCCTACTTAAAAAAAAACTTCAAAGGCCCTAGGTTATATTCTAATATAGTATAATTTCCAAAGAAAAGAATGATTGAAAACAGTGATTCTCAACATTTTAAAACATGACCCTACCTTTGATAAGCACCAAGCCCAGCTAAACATATTTCTTGAGATCATAAATTTAAATAATAAACTTATAAACATGGAAATTTTGCAAACCAAATTTTAAGAAAATGAGACATTAACAGTTGATAAGACAACTTTAAGAATATTCCTTTCTTCATACTTCCATGTCCTTTTAAAAATATTCTGAGTTCAATTAAGGCTTCCTAGAGTTGGTGGAGGATATGCTAGAATAATGGAGAGTACATGATTACCATATATACTTTGTTTATGTATGAAATGGCCAAAAGTTATGTTAAATATAAAAATAATTAACTAAATGTAGAACAACTCACCCAAAGACTACAAATATATTTACCAATTCAACTGCACAATTTTCTTGGGCCAAAGAGGCATTCATTGAAGATAATCCCTCAGCAGCTGGAGAAATCCTTTCAAAAATATCCTGCTAAAGATAATTCAGAAATTACAGGTAATCCTGCTAGTGGTTATAATATGAACAGCTCAATTTTATTAAATTATTTATTAACATACATGATAACTTTTCAAACTAATTAAAAATATTGTCTTACTTATGGTTTCTATTGCTGTAAAGAAACACTATGACTACAGCAACCCCTATAAAGGAAAACATTTAATTGGGGCTGGGTTACAGTTTATATTCTAGTCCATTATCGTCGTGGCAGGAAGCATAGAGGCACACAGGCAGACATGGTGCTGGAGAAGGAGTTTAAAGTTGTACAACTTGATGTGCAGGCAACAGGAAGAGAGTGTGACACACTTCCTCCAACAAGGTCTCCTAATAGTGCCACTGCCTATGGACCTATGGGGACCATTTTTATTCAAACCACAACATTCCACTCCCCGGCCCTCATAGGCTTGTAGCCATATAATAATGCAAAATTCATTTAGTCCAATTCCAAAAGTCCCTATAGTGCATTACAGTTTCAAACTTGTTTAAAAGACTAAAGTTCAAAGTCTCTTCTAAGACTCATATAATTTCTTAATAGTAATTCCCTATAAAATCAAAATGAAAAAGCAGATCACATACTTCCAACATGTAATGACACAGGATATACCTTACAGTTCCAAAAAGGAGCATAGCCAGGAAAAGACTGGATCAAAACAAGACCAAAAACTAGCTTAGCAAACTCCAAACTCTGCATCCCCATGCCTGATGTCAAAATGCTCTTCAGATCTCCAACTCTTTAAGCTTTGTTGATCAACACATACTTCTTCCTCTTGGGTTGGTTCTACACCCTGTTTTAGCAGCTATTCGTGGCCGGTATCCCACAGCTCTGCCATCTCCAACACTTTGGGGGCTCCAAGGTAATCCAGGCTTCACCTTCACAGCTTCACACAATGGCCTCTCTAGGCCTCCATGCAGGGACATTTCTGACATATGCCTGGCCTCAGTAGCTTAGTCACGGAGGGAGATTCCATAACCCCTTTCCTGTATCTTTGACTCTAAAGTCAGAACCATAGTCAAAGCTGCCAAGTTCTGCTGCTTGCTGGGGTTGGAACATGGACTACTCATTCAATCATATCTTCACCAGCTTTCTGTTTTCGATGGTTTTCTTCAAGCCTAAGTAAGCTTGGATATTCTGAGATTTTCTCTGTAGACCAGGCTGGCCTCAAACTCAGAGAGCTGCTTGCCTCTGCTCCTGGAGCATTGGGATTAAAGTTATGCACCACCATGCCTGGCCATAAGTCTTTCTTTAATTCCTTTTCACAAATTGGAAGCTTAGTTGGGTGGGGTCTTACTCTGAGGTCACCAGTATGTTTATTACACTTAGCATCATGCTTTTCTTTCTATTTACACTTCCTGGTGCTCCTTTCCCCTCAAATAGCACATTTTGTATTATTTTCTTGATCAGCTTTCTACTTTTCATTATAAATATGCATAAGAGTGAGCACAGAGTCCAATAGGATGTTTTGAGATTTCCTCTGCCAATGCAATTAATCCAAAAACTCTTCAATTTAGACCCAGGCAGATGTTTTTGGACAAGGGCAGAAAGCAGGCACATTCTTTACCAAAATATCACATACTAAAATTCTTCTCTTCTGAAACTTCTTGAACTAGGCCTTCAAGTTAAAATCACCCTCAGCACCACTCTCTTCAATTCTCTTACTAGGATGGTCCATTGAGCCCCACTTAAAGAGCTCAACTGCTTTTCTAATCTGAAGTCCCCAAATTCACATTCCTCCTAACAAAATCATGGTCAGGCCTATTACAGTAAAACCCCACTCTGGTTTAGCTAGGGTTTCTATTGCTTTAAAGAGGCACCATGACAATAACAACTCTTAAAAAGGAAAATATTGAATTGGGGCTGTCTTACAGTTTAGAGATTTAGTCTATTATCATCATGGCAGCATGCAGGCAGACATAGTGCTGGAGAAGGAGCTGAAAGTTCTACATCTTGATCCACAAGTAGCAGGAAGACAGTGTGACACACTTCCTTCAACAAGGCCACATCTAGTAGTGCTACTCTCTATGGACCCATGGGGACCATTTTTATTCACACCTCCATAAATGAAGGACCCTGCATACTACGTCTCCCTTTCTCCTCTCCACGCACGCCCCATGTTGGAGCCTCTATTGCTGCACTGCTGAGACTGCTTTCCTTTGAAGTGTCTTGTTGAGTAGTTACTCAGGCCAGCACCAGGCTTCTGAGACAGGAAAGAACCCTGCATGGCAAGCAGAGGGGTGAGAGTGAGGGCAGGAGCATGCATATCCCTACCCAGGACTGTGACAGGACTCTACTGGAGTGGTCACTGAAACAACTGAAAAAATGATCTGTGCCATCCAGAAAAGGAGCAAAACCAAAGGAAGAGGAAAAAAGAGAGAAGGCCAGAATTTTTCTACTCTCCACCACCTCCTCCTCTTTTCACTTCTATAAGGCATTGGTCCCTTTCCTTCTTAACCTATCACTAAGCTCTGTTCCCCAGCTGCCATCTCTGATTTTGAGTAAGTCAGGAGAATTTTTCTACTATACTTTCCTCATTGTCTTCACTTCAGCTTTAAATATTTTAGTGACTAAAAGGCACTGTTCTTTATTCTTTAGCATTTATATTTGTCTTTTTCCAATATCTATGAATATCCTATATTTTTTTCAATTTTTTTTATTTTAAATAGCTTGTTTTACATGTCAATCCCAGTTCCCTCTCCCTCCCCTCCTCCCGCACTCCCCTTTCCCCCCACCCTCCCACCCTATTGCCAAATCCTTCCACATAGGGGATATCAGAGTCTGTCATTTTACATATTTTAAGTAATGTTAAATGTATAATTACTATATACAAACATGCTGTTTTTTGAGATTTTAAAATGATTGATCAGAATCAACATTTTTCTGTCTCTTTAAACTCATTGTGTATAACCTCATACTTTGCTATATTTCCTATTTCTTCACCATTTTAGAAATAAAGTAAGAACAGAAGTGAAGATTAGAGCATATAATAGTAAAGGGGTTAAGGGTCAAAAGAAATGGTACAACACAAGGAAAAAACTCTATTTTTTGCAAGTAAGTAGTTGATAACTGCACTGATAGTTTCCTTCCCCAAATCATAAATTAAACAAGTTTTCCTAATAAGAATTTCAGTAGCTGCATTCTAAGAAATGTTCAACCCTCCAAAAGGCAGACAGCATGGTAAATCACCATATAAGTATGCAGTATATTATCAACGATTTAGTAAAACATGAAACAGTCTTTCCTCCCAGGGCATCCAGTTTCAATGTGGTTAACTGAATTCCCTGAGTGGTTATCCAAATAAAATGATGTGGCTTCTACTTCCCAAGTTTCCCCCTTCCCTACTTTGTGGAGAGTCTTTATCACTGTGCCTCCTGTGTGTGTGTTCCCTTATCCCTAATAAAAGCTTTCACCAGAAAAAATTACAATGATAAAGGAATATACCTGAACAGCACTGGTTTATTTTTATTTTATCAATAAGACCCTAATATTTAAATGACAAATGAGAAAGAATTTTATTTTTTCAAAACAGGGTTTCTCTGTGTAGCCCTGGCTGTCCTGGAACTCTGTAGACCAGGCTAGCCTCAAACTTAGACATCCATCTACCTCTGCCTCATGAGTGCTGGGATTAAAGGTGTGCACCTCCATGCCCAGCAAAGAAAATATTTTAAATTTAAAACTATCTTATAAAATTGTATAAAATATTTTTCTATGTTTTCAAATAGTTAAGCTTTTCAAATAAAAACTGTTCTCAAAGAAAAATTTTTGTTTTCCTCTTCCTTCAGAGTGACAAAAATTAGTTTGTTTTGATCATAGACTTTTAGTCTTTCAAATTAAAGGCAAAGACAGTTGGGAAGTTTAAAATATTATTCTTATGAAAAAGATGGGTAAATCTATGATGAGAGACAATATACAAACATCTGGTTAGAGTTCTAAGAGACCTCATAATTCATTCAATGTAGGGCCTAGTAAGGCTCTCAATATACAACCAGATCCAAGCACAAACACTCATTTACTATGTTATATAAAATGTTATTTCATCATGAAACTATCTCGTGATTCACACCCTAAACTTTAGAGGAATATTGTCTTGCAGATTAAAATTATGTTTTATCTTATAGTAGTGACACTTAGAGAAATTGTTGAACAACGTGAGATGAAATATGAACCATATTTGAAAGAATATGTATCAGACTTTCAATATTACTTCATTAGAGTTGCATAAAAGTATTTCAATGATTATCTCTGGTTAACTTACCTCAGAGATAATATTCATATTGATTTCCTCCTGAAAGCTACCCGTAGATTCATCAACCACATCATTCCAAGCTTGGGGTTGATCTAACTCTCTGTAGGAATTTGGCTCTTCTATCACTGAGGGCTCTTAATTATCAAGGAAGTAAAGAAAACATTACCAAAGTGCATTTCAAACTTGAATTGGCATATGGCTGTTTGAAAGAAAACTGACCAGTAACTTGGAATTGGAGAATTTACGTAAGGAGTACACAACCTTCTCACACTTGCCCATATCTCGCATAACTTGTATTGTCCCTTTCCCCTCCTCTGCTTCTTTATCATTTCCACTCTCCATCATCTTCAGTCATTCGTCCTCACTCACTTTCACATTCACCCACAGGGCAAAGTTCACCATGGTGTATATTATTCTGTAAATTTTAATGACTTCGGAAATGATCACTGGGAAAAGGAAGCTTTTTCATCACATAAACTGGTTTCATTTCTTTAATTACAATAATGAGTGATTATGAACATTTTGTGAACTTTATTCTAGGCAGGCAATGATATTTGTCTCAGGATAGTTGTAATATTTAAGGACTGTTCTTATCACTAAGTTTCTTAAAATGAAACATTTTTCTGCTAGACACAAAGACTTTCTTTTATAAGAGTTGATGAATACTGCCTTCAGGGTAGAGGACGTTAGAGAGAGAAAAATGGTTAACACAGTATATATATATATATATATATATATATTTCATCTTTCGTATGTATGTAGAGAAGATACTGGTGATTAAACCTAGGGCCTTACACATTCTAGGAAAGTACTCTACCACTGACCTACACCACCAGCTCCTTTCAGTGTGCTTTGTGACAGGGTCTCACTAAATTGGCTCTGAACTTGCTCTGTGATCCTTTAATTTGCCTGAGTAGGTGGGATTACAGGCCTGTGATACCAGAACTGGCCTATATTTTTATCTTTTCAATGAAGTCTTGGAACAGAAATTAATGAGAAAAGCAAAAAATGCTAAGACAATATTTTAAGTTTAAAATACTCGCCTACAGAGAGCGATTATATTTAAAAATGTAGATTTGAGTCTAGTTTTCATTCTGAGACTTAAAGTTCAGTTTTTGTTTACACAACATTCCCTTCAACATTAACAGAATTAAGAAATTTTACCTAGAATGTTTTTGGTTCCCACTTCTTTCCTTACTGACTCCTTCTGTATCAATTTTGCAAGTTTAAAATCAGAAGACAGGAAGCATTTTGCAAACAACTGTAAAAACAGATTGATATTCTTGATTTTATATTAGTAAAACAATTGAATAAAGCACATATACTAAAAAGTAAAAATCATTTATACACAAGGTTTCAAGCTGAGAATAGTGGTGCTCGCCTTAAAAGCAGAGGCAGGTGTATCTCTGTAAATTCAAGGTCAGTCTGACCCATGTTGTGAGTAAGAGATAAATAGTGAGAGCCTGTCTTGGGGGAAAAAGCCATTATTATTAAACAAAACAAGTTTTAAAATAATGGTTTCTTTTTCCTACATATCCAATTATGATGTAAATATGAACATATTTATTTAGAAACAAACATCATATTCATGTAAAAAGGAAGAAAACAGTTACCTTTTTCAGTTCCTCATGAATCAGATCCTGGGTAGCAGTTGACAGAAGTGTATCCACTCCTCCTCTCTTCTTCCACATCATCAATCTTTGTGTAGGGGGTGCAAGGTCCAGAACCATTAAAGTGTCCACAAAGGAAGTAAGCTGCTTATGCATAGACTTGCTACTTATCTCCTTGACTGGATCTATGAGCAACCTCCTTTTTTTGCTTTTCTTTCTCTCAGCAATGTCTAAAGAGAACCAAACATATATGGACTTGGAAAGTTTTATAAAATGATATTCTAGGCTACTACATATCTAAAGGATAGCGTATTACAAATAACCTGCAGAGTTGCACTGGGAAGGAAATCCTTCTGTTCTCTGAAAATAAGCTTTTCAAGATTTTTACAAAGTTAAGAGTATCTGAGCAGCCAAAAGCTGATACGCTTTTCAAGGTGTTGCTTGAAGATGCTTAGGAGGGACTCTGTTCACTTGTTAAGTGGGCAACTAAAGAAACATGACAAAGAGTAGTTGGGCAGTTAAAGAGTCTGGAGTTTTTCTTTTCTTTTTTAAAATGTGTAACAGGATAATGTTTCAAAACATTAATGTGTATCTCTCCAGTGTACTTCACCCTCTCCCATTGAAATTCATATATGAATTCAAAGTAGGTAGCTAATTCCAAACCATGCAGAAGGCAGAAGTCAAGTTTTTCTTTAATGAAGCTGAAAATGTTTTGAATTGAACTCAGTTTTTAAATATCCAGTTTCCCAAACTGGACATATGATTTGAACAGGACTAGATGTGATGAAAATTATCTCTGATTTCTTTCATACCCTTCTATTTAATGCCCAATACTATTACCATACTGGCAGCTTTCTATAACATTCTATGGATTGTTTGCATTACTCAAAGCAATTAAGATAGCAGTGTTCCAAAGATAAAAATTAAAACATGAAACTTCACTGGGCAGTGGTGGTGTACACCTTTAATCCCAACACTTGGGAGGCAGAGACAGTCCAATCTCTGTGAGTTCAAGCCTGGTCTACAGACCGAGTTGCAGAGAAACCCAGTCTCGAAAACCAAAACAAAAAACCAAAACAACAACTAAAAAAACCACCACCAACAACCAAAACAACAAAAAAACTGCCAAAACAAAAAACTCCAAAACCCCAAACAAACAAAACAAACCCATTAAACCTCTTACCTAAACCATCAATTGGATCAAGAGTAAATGCTTCTTCTTCATTTGATAATAATGGTGTTTCATCTATTTTTTCATCTTCAGGTAGGTATCGGTCATCTGAATTACCTGGTTCTACTAATAAAAGCAAAAACAAACATATGATTATGCTACACATTAGAATAAAATATGAGAAATAAAGTAAAAACAATTAATTACTGCTAGCTGGGATGATACATAAAGTCTAAGAATCATGAATTTTAACAGGCAAAGAAATTCAGTAATAAATGGTGGGGGACCTACAACATTTGAGTGAGGCAAGGAGCATCACCCTCATTTGCATATGAGACATCTCAGGGTAGGCTACAGTCACACATAAGTGAAAACAAAAGAAAAAAATGACCGACATAAATGACATCTCAAGTATCTATGCTCTGTTGAATCATCAAGTAACTCATAAAGAACCATGGCTAAGTTTTGATTGCTCAATACTTTTTATAGTTTTAATTTTGATTATTGTACCAGAAAGCAAATGTAACGTCAAACATTGTGAAAAACAAAAATGAGGTTAATTATACTTTTAATATTTAGAGAAAAGAATCTATCTTAAAGTCACCAACTCATCTGAGGTACTTTGGTAAGTATAGAAAAGTATGCTCACTTGAAAATTTGCAATTTCTCTCAACTGTATACCAATGGTTAAGCCATGCAATGTAGTAATTTTTCTTCTCATATAACATATATTACTTTTTTCTGTTGTTTTTTCAAGACAGGGTTTCTCTGTATTGTTTTGGAGCCTGTCCTGGAACTCACTCAGTAGACCAGGCTTGGTCTTGAACTCACAGAGATCCCCTGCCTCTGCCTCCCGAATGCTGGGATTAAAGGCATGCGCCACCACCGCCCGGCCAACATATATTACTTTTATAATTTGAAAACATACTGATGGAGAATAAATATGATCTACTAAAGCCAATCCTGGTTAACTACTTTTTCAGAATCTAACTTCCTGTTCTGTATTGTCTAGTGTTAGGTCAAGAGAATCTGAAGGACAATGTTCCTCATTACAGTACTGCTGAAACTTAGACATTTCAAACATCAGAAAACTATACATTTTCTATGCAAAGACTTCAACATACCCATTATACTACTGGGAAGCTCAGGAGGCAGAGAAGTTTCTTTGTTCGAATATATGTCTTCTAAAAGGGTAGTCTCATCTTGCAATATATTGTCTTTGAAAACATAAATAAATACTTTTTATTCACTAAACATTTACTGGCGTTAGTTTACACAAGACATTGTACTTATAAAATTATTTGTTTTTACTCCATATTGGTCACATAACTCAATTAGGAGGGGTTGGGGTGTTGTGAAAATTTTGGCAACAAGGACATCCAACTAAAAATAAAGATTATTTCTGGCAGTGCCTACCCATGGTTCACTTCGCCACTTCATTGCAGCCTTGGTTCTGAAGACACAAAGTGCACTGTGTCTGCTATCACATGCCATACAATGCCAAACACTGCCTGAAATACCTTGGCACAGATTAAAGATTACTGTATGTTATGAATTGTATTGTTTTTACTACATGTGCAATATTTTCTGTTCCAACAGAAATATGACTTCATTGTAGTAAAAAAGACATTTAGTATTTTCCTACCACTATTCCTCACAAATTAGTACATCTTTAGATTATAACTAAACATAATTTTATTGATGAGGGATGTCCTTCTGTATGCTGTGAGTATATGTTTCTCTTATTGGTTAATGAATAAACCACTGGACAGGCAGGAAATATAGGTGGGGCTACCAAACTAAGAGAATGCTGGGAGATCAGAGAGAAGGAGCAAACCGCCTCCACACCTTACCTCCTTAGTGTTTCAGCATACCAGAGAGTAAGTTCTTGTTTCTCCCTGCTTCTATCCTGTTTCTGCACAGCTACTTCACTTTCTGTCTGTCTGTACAGACTTCTAGACCTCTATGGTTAGCTAGTGGCAAGCTCCATTCTCTGACCTTCAGACAGGCTTTATTTGTACAAGCAAGATATCACCACATTTTATCATCTTGTACGACTATTTATTCAAATTAGTGTTCTCAGCATTACAAATTTTAAAATAGAAATATTTGTCAACTCTGAAAAACGCTGAAAATGCTCTATATCTTGGAGTTTCAAAACTTTAACAGTTTTTTAATATAAAAGTAAGTAAGCATATTATCTCAATTTCATGAATATTTATTTTAATAAGTGGAAAAATCATATAGTATACCAATTATTTTAGAATAAATTTATTTATCATCAGTAAAACACTTGGTTTGAATACACATTTTAGTTTTTTAATTTTTAATATGTAAAATGGGTGTTTGCTTGCATGCATATCTGTGTGCCACAAATGTACAGTGCCCATGGAAGACAGAAGAGGGCCTTGGATTCCCTGGGTCTGGAGTTACAGATGGTTGTGAGCCTTAATGTGGGTGCTAGAAACCAAATCCAGGTCCTCTGGAAGAATATTCAGTGCTCTCAACTGCTGAGCCATCTCTCCAAACATATATTTTATATGCCAGGATCACATAAGAATTTCTTGGGCAAAAGGGGGTTATGGATGGAAAAAGTTTAAGAAGCCCTGGTTTATACAAAGGATAACCACACTTCTTTATTTCCTTTCTCTTCTCTTCCTACTCCCCTTTCTCTTTTGAAATAGGGTTTCACTGTGTAGTGAACTGACCTAGAACTCCTTATATAGTCTAGGCTGGTCTTAAACTCATGATTCTTCTGCCTCAGCTTCACAAATGCTAAGATTTAGGTCTGACTTACCATGCCTGGCTGTTAACTAGACTTTTAATGCAAACTGAAAAAAATCTGTAAATGCATTTCATATAACTAATAATCTTTAAAGTACATACTTTTGTTTCCCCAATGTCTCTTCAAAATGTGTATTAGTATACAATGTATACAGGAGTGCTATGACTGGGCAGAGAAAGGAATATAAGGCGGGAGGAGACAGGAATGTATTGTAGTCTCAGTGAGTCTGAGCAGCAGTGCAGTCAGGAGCAATCTGGGGTCCAGTGGATTGCCCCTTTATTCTGAGCATCGGTCGAGGTGAGAACTCCCTAGTGGCTTGTTGGGGAAGTCCTGTTATTTGTCAATAAAGTACTGTTGAGCCTATAGGAATCTAGATAGGTGGGGCTAGGAGTCCAGGAGGATTCTGGGAAGGAGAAACACAAGAGAGTCAACATGTAACGCCATGGGGGTAGGAAGCCTGGAACTATTCTCTGGTAAGAAACATACTTAGATTAACAATTATGGGGTAATTACTTAAGTCAGAGCTAGATAGTAAGAAACAAGCAAGGCCAACAGCTTCATAATTAATATAGCCTCCTGTGTGTTTATTTGGGACTGATGTGGATCTGGAACCAGGCGGGTGGGAAGGCTTCTCTCAAAGAAAAAGCTTCTTTTAACAGTGGCTGACCACTTTGATTCTCTGATCTTTAGCATTAACCCCAGTATCTGTCTCTGGGTTTTTATTATTTGTGCTACATTTGACCTACAAGCAAAGACATATATATATATATATATATATATATCTTAAAATTCAATTTGATGTAACAAAACAGACACAGTACAGTGATTGGATTAAAATGAATATTTGATATTTTAAGACCAGAAAACATACCAATCATTTCTCCTGCAGCTCCTTCATCTCCAAATCCATCTCCATTGTCAAAGAACAAAGATTTTTCTTCCATGAGGCTTCCAGAACTATGTTCAACTACAAGACCACTGGAGTTCATTAATATGTTGTCATCAAAGAAGCTATGCCTTCTGAGAAGTTCAGGTTCATCCCCTATATAAATATGTATCATTAGTGCCAAGCTAATCATATAAACATATACTTTTAGAGTTAAAATAAACTGAATTATTATCTAGTATACTTCATCCCCATTCTATGAGGAAAATAAAAGCTTTAAAATTATTGAATTATCCAAATTGAAGACACTCAGTTAACAACATAGACTAGATTTCAAGTTTAATACTCTCAAAATACAACAGGAAAAAATGCCAGAGCATTCAATTGAGTTTGCAGTTATAGTTTAGTCATGTCCTAGAAAGTCAGAATGCTGTGGGAGTAGACTGATACCCTATACATTTATATAGGTCATATTCTGTTTGACCAAATATTATTTTGTATCATTTTATATATACAATTGCTTGAACAGTTTATGCTTAAGAAGAATTTGGAAAATCTACCTAGGGTTACATAAAAAACCCTGTTTCTGAAACAACAAAAAGGTCTGGTGGTGGTAGCGCACATCTTTAAACCCAGCACTCAGGAGGCAAAGGCAAGTAAATCTCTTGGAGTTTGAGACCAGCCTTGTCTACAGAGCAAGTTCCAGAACAGCCAGAACTACATAGAACTCTCCCCACCAATGTATGTTAAAATAATCACCTTGCCAGGAGGTGGTGGCGCACGCCTTTAATCCCAGCATTCGGGAGGCAGAGGCAGGTGGATCTCTGTGAGTTCGAGACCAAGCCTGGTCTACCGAGTGAGTTCCAGGACAGCCTCCAAAACAATACAGAGAAACCCTGTCTCGAAAAAACAAAAAAAATCACCTTATGATTATTTTATAATAATATAATTATAATAATTAGAAAATAATCTTATAATAGTGATTTAGTAAATATTTATAGAATATCCTAGGAGTTGGAAATAGAACACTAAAAAGAGCATGGCCAGTCAGCTATCATTAACTGAGCACTTAGTTAATTGTATTATGTAATAGAAAGCATAATTATCATTGTTCAAATAAGAAAACTTATCACTGAAAGGTTTGAAGCCAGATCTATTTGTCATTAGGTATACTGATAGCTACAGAGGATCCAACGTCAGTTCTGCATTTTCTTACCAACCTTCAGATTTTAAAGTCATTATGTCCAGGATTCTAAACCCTGGCAATCAGAGGTTGGTCTTCTCTCTCAATCACCCACATTATTATACAGTAAAGAAAATCATGAAGTAACACCTATATTGTACATTCATCTCTAGATCTATGTAACATGAATAAAAAACCTAGTGACAGATATTGGGGTTCAAGCTAAAAAAAGCAGAGCAGCCAAGCAACCAGAGAGCTCTTACCTCTACCAAGGCTGAGGGATCCTATCCTTATCATGGCTGGAGACTAATTGCCCGATTACTGAATACGGAATGTCATGCTCTTATCTTATATATCTCTCTAGTACTGGGATTAAAGGCATGGGCTCTGTTACTCTTTTAGATGGATTCACTCTCATGTAGTCCTGGTGGCCTTGAACTCATAGAGATCCATCTGCCTCTGTCTCCTGAGTTCTGGGATTAAAGATGTGTGTTACCATTGCTGAGCTTCTATGGCTGTGGCTGCTTTGCATTCTGATCTTCAGTGGCTTTATTAGATCATAAACAATATATCACCACAGACCTATATCACAATGAATTAAAAATTTGCTAAATAGGTTTAGCAATTTTTTTGAGAAAGAACTAAGAACCTGTTTATATTACCTAGGGACAGCTTTTTCCAAAAAGGAAAGTCAGCCTCGCTTAATCAGAGAAACACTCAGAAACAGACACTAAATTCTGAGTGTTGGACATTTCAAAAGTCTGAGAATAAAATGATTATTCCTTAAAATTCCAGCACTCAGAAAGCTGTAGCAAGCCAATCTGAGTTCCATTTAAGACTGGGTTAAGTAGTGAGACTGTTATTTGTCTGTCTGCCTACCTACCTATCTAACCTGACTTTACGGAGAATAAATAACACAGCCTTCAATTTATACTGTAATCAAGAATAGGATAGATTAATATAAAATATTTCTTAAGGTTTGAGAGGGAAAATCAATTATTGGTGTAGAGAACAATAGGCAAGAATAAAGAAAATAACCTGTGATGTTTTTAGCAGGATTTCAGCTTTATAGACAGAGCTATGAGGTTAGGTCATCTGCTGAGTATATACACAGCAAATTGATAAAAAAAGTCTAGATTCAAACCTAGGACTGCACACTGATATATTTCTCCACTTTTCTGAATTATGTAGGATATATAATTGTGAACAACTAAGTTGAATTGATTAGATGGTAAGACATATGCTTTGGTAGAGACAAATGCCTATATTGAGCTGATAAACTGATAAAGAATGATGAATTGGAAGAGGGCACTGAGGAGAGGAATATCAGTCACAGGAACCCAAGTTGCTTAGGTAGAAGAATGATAAGTGGACAAAAAAATACTTAAAGACAATTACTCTTGCAGAAATGTGTAAAATATGGGAAGAAAATGGAGGAAGATTTTTCAGGTAGGTAGTATAATACTGTAGCTAAGAAAGCAAGAAGAAGATATGGGAGACAGTTCAGATGTTTTAAAAAAATCAATCAATAGCTGGGCATGGTGTTGCATGTATTTAAGCCCAGCAAGGGAGGCAGAGGCAGGCAGATCTCTATGAGTTTGAGGCCAGCCTGTTCTATAAAGCAAATTCTAGGATAGACAGGGCTACACAGAGAAACACTGTCTTGAAAAAACAAAAAACAATAACCCAGCACCCCCAAACTCCAGACCAAAAAACCCCAAAATACATGTCTTTTCTAAATTTATTTTAACATTTAAAAATTACTGCATGTTTCATAATCAAGCTGTACATTGTTTACTGTGGTAGCATTTCTTCCTCCTCACTCTCATGGTGACTTAAATCTGTTATTTTATAATTGATACTCATCATATACTGGACAAAATATATTTAAAAGAATTTTATACAGCATACACATAAAATCATATATATGTATATATGTATATTATATATATATGTAACTGTTAATCTGGATATCTCTCATTTGAGGGCAGAAACTACTTTTAATTTTTGTGGGCGGAGGAAATAAGGGAGACAGGATCTTACTATAAGGCTCTAGCTGGGATTATAGGCATGTGCTACCACATTACCCCAGAACTTACATTTTAGTGCTGTCCTTGTCTATGAGTGCACCTAACATATAATAGAAATTCAAAAAATGGTTGTATAATGATAAAGAAATATGCTCTAATAAAGGGTATTAGTATATAGATCAGAAAAAAGAGAAGAATTTTGGAGGCTATATTTATACACGAAAACATCCATTCTATAGATCTTGCTATTGCCACTGTTTTCACACAAAATGCAAATATAACTGATGATGTCTTATAATTTTAGTTTCTCAAAAATACTCACCAAAGCTCTCAGCTTGTAAAAGTAGATCATTGCTATATTCTTCTCTAAGTGTGATTTCCTCTGGTCTGCTTTGGTTCTGAGCAAGGGTCTCTGAAACATCAATCTCACTATAGAGAAATATATTTAGGAAATGTGTGAGTAGAACACTGTAGTTTTACAAATTACTGGGAAAGACTTAAAATGAGCATATAATAAAATATTTTTTACTTTATAAATAGTATTTTTGTACATGTTAACTTTTAGACACATGTATATACAAATAATTTTCGGGTTATTAAATCCAGTAGTGATTCTTAGTTGCTACCTTACTTGTGATTTGAATAGTTGTCTACTCTTGCTATGGCTTGAATGTTTGTGCTCCCTTCTAGTCCAAATACTGAAATATACTTCCCAGTGTGATACTATTAGGAGCTGAGACCTTTAGGAGGAAACCAGGTCATGGGGGTTTTGTTTTCATAAACAGAGATTGTGTGGCCCCACACTACCAGTTTGATCCTTATATCATGTGAGGATGTAGTAAATGAATTTATGGCATCTTGACTTTGATCTTCCATTGTTAATGCTATGACAAGAACTGGGTAATTTATAAACAGAAATTTGTTATACACCTTTCTTGAGTTTTGGAAGGCTAAGACCAAGGCACCATGGTTTTAGTTTCTAGTATGTGCTATTCTCCTTAGAAAACACATTTGTGCTGTATCCTCAGATACTGAAAGTTCAAGAAAACTTGCTTAGGCTCTTTTTATAACGCCACTGACCTTAAGAAGGGCCCTCTGTTTTCAAAACCTCCTCACATTCAAAGGCTTCCATTATTTATACCATCACCATGGGAATTAAGTTTCTACATGTGAACTTAGAGAAATATACACATGAATTCAAACCCAGATATATCTTGTCCAAAATCTAATTTACTTCCTTTTTTCTCTTTCTTCAACCTATCGTCCTTTAGCTATCCTGGTTTCAGTAAGTTGTAGCTCAGTTTTATGCCTTGTGGTAGTTTGAATAAAAATGACCCCTATAGGCCCATAGGGAGTGACACTATTGGAGTAGGCCTTGTTGGACAAAGTATGTCACTGGGGATGCAGTTTGATGTCTCAGATGTTCAAGCCATGCCACCATACTTCCTGCCATGGCCATAATGGACTAAGCCTCTGAAACTGTAAGCCAGCCCCAATTAAATGCTTTCCTTTATAAGAGCTGCTGTGGTCATGGCGGATCTTCACAGCAATAGCTATCCTAAGATATGCCCCAAATCAAGTAGTCATTCTGTACTTCTTTAGGGACATATCCAATTCGGCAACATACCATGTTTACTCTGCCTTTCATAGAATTGATTTGACTGCTACCATCTTAATAAAGTTTGAAAACTGATTACATACTGCTTCATACAGACTTACTACAATAATCTCTCAGGTTTTCTTTTTCCTTTCTTTCCCCAGTATAGCGAAGTAGCCAGAGGGAGCATGCTGAGACCAAGTGAGATCTGGTCACTCCCCTATTCTCTATTCAAAACTCTTCTTTGCTTCCTCTTTCAGCAAAATTAAAGCTCTATTGTAGCCTACAAATCCTGTCTCCTCATCTTCTGCTCCTTTTCTGATCTCACGTCTTTATTACACAGCCCTTCTTTCATTCCACTTCATTTCACTTGGTTTCTTGATGTTCCTGATGTCCAATGTACTCTGTCTTATATCCTTTCTACTTGGTTCCTATATTTCACCTGCCTTATTAAGCCATTCCCTCAGAGAATTTTTAATTAACTGGGCATTTCCATTGGAACATTCTTCAATGTTACTGTCGGTTTGTTCCCTTAGCTCCTTCAGGCTTGTGTTCTTACTTGATCAGAAAATTCTTTCCTGACAATCCTATTGTTTGTTTTAATGTTTATCTTCATATTGCATATTTATTTATTATCAATCTATAACAACTAAAAAGATCCAGTAGGCTAGGAACTGTTTTATTCATTGCTATCTCTGCAATGCCTAGTACTGTACTAGGCATAGGAAAGGCAATTTGTAAACAAATATTTACTATCTGAATATACTGTCAATACTAACATTCAGTAAATATGAGACATTTTTGTTTTTGTACTTTTGAATTTCACACTATAATTTAAGCCTTTGTCAACTGTACTTGTTCAGTAGTTATCTAAGTAAGTTGCCATCATTAAATCTGAATGTGGAAACAGGAAAGTAAAATAATTTACTTCATATTATAGATGTCAAAGTCATGAAATTCTTCCGGTAATGTGATAGTATTGTAAGCCGCTTCAAAATTCTCTTTTGGGAGGTCAACCAGTCCTTAAAATAATGAAAAAGAAACACAATAAGCAGTGAACGTTTATGAAACATTAAACTTCCAATTAGATCTTTATCATCTCTCATGGGCTTCTCTATATCCACTCCTGCCCCTCAGCAGTCTATTTTTTTATGAAGTAGACAGAGTAACAGTTTCCAAAAGTAAACAGATCAGATATTTCTCATGCTTAAAGACCTAAGCATGAATAAAGCAACTTCCTCACAATAAATTCAAATTTCTGACTGGAGATTCTATATCCCTGCACTCTTATCATACATCATCCAAGGACATTATACTCCACAGGCATACTAGACTTTTTTCACTGAAAACGACAAGCATTTTTCAACTCAAGACATTGTATTTACAGTTTCATTTGTCTATGTTGCCATTCTTTTGGTCACTACTTAGGTACTAAGTATGTCTCATTTTTCATTTGTGAATTTAATTTCTATCCCCTTACATTTTCCCCCTAACTAACCTATAAAATGAACTCCTCTGCTATGTTCTGTTATAGATCTTGGTTTAGTTTCCTTTATAACATAACCACTAACAGGTGCAGTGGCACATGCCTTTAATCCCAGCATGACCACAATCTGCCATTATTTTTTAAATAAATTTTTATTTAAATTAAAAACAACCTTATTTTACATACCAACTGGTTCCCTGTCCCTCCTGTCCTCCTCTATCCCCCCTATCAACCTCTATCCCACCCCCATCCACTCCCCAGGGAGGGTGAGCCCTCCCATGAGGGATCATCAAAGCCTGACACATCATTTGGGGCAGGACCTAGGCCTTCCCCCGTGTATCTAGACTGAGAGAGTATTCCTCCAAAGGGAATGGGCTCCCAAAGCCCACTCATGCACTAGGGATAAATACTGTTCCACTGCCAGAGGCCCCCTAGACTGCCCAGGCCTCCTGCCTGATGCCCACATTCAGGGGCCTGGTTCAGTCCTATGCTGTTTCCCCAGCTGTCAGACTGAAGTCTATGAAATTCACTTGCTCAGGTCAGCTGTTTCTGTGGTTTTCCCCAGAATGGTCTTGACCCCTTTGCTCATCACTCCTCCCTCTCTACAACTGGATTCCAGGAGTTCAGTTCAGTGCTTGGCTGTGGGTCTCTGCTTCTGCTCCCATCAGCTACTGGGTGAAAGCTCTATGATGGCATTTAAGGTCGTCATCAATCTCATTATAGGGGAACGACATTTAAGGTAACCTCTCCTCTACTGCTTATATTCTTAGTTGGTGTCATCCTTGTGGATTCTTGAACATTTCCCTAGTGCCAGATTTCTCTTTAAACCTACAATGGCTCCCTCTATTAAAGTATCTCTTTTATTGCACTCCTTCTCTATTCTTCCCCCAACTCAATCTTCTGTCATTATTATACTAATTTTTAAAAACATTTTCATTATTTGAGTTCCTCATCAGACTGAAAAGGAACTATTTATCTTGCTTGTCCTTGTATTCTAAAACCTAACAGCATGTTGATCACAAAGCATGAATCAATAAATATTTGTGGGGATCACCAATAATAAATGAGTAAGTAAAACATATGCATATAAATCTAATGAAAGGCTCTAAAACTATTTTAAATGAGAAAGATAAAAAAGAGCTATCAGTCAGAATCCACAAATGTTGATGGAGGAATGGTATATGAAAGGCATTAACACGGGCACTGTAAGAGATTAGGAAAATGTATATGATAAATATGGTTCCTTTTGGGGAGTTTTGAACACTAGTGATGGAGGAAAAACCTTTATTTAAACAAGTATGACAAAGGTAGAAGATGATGCATATATTAAAAGACATGCTGAAATTAAAAAACTTAGGCATTATATTTATGACACATAAACATATAGCTCTGAGCTGGGCGTTGGTGGCACACGCCTTTAATCCCAGCACTTGGGAGGCAGAGGCAGGCGGAGCTCTGTGAGTTCAAGGCCAGCCTGGTCTATAGATCGAGTTCCAGGACAGCCTCCAAAACAATACAGAGAAACCCTGTCTCGAAAAAACAAACAACAAAACAACAACAACAACAACAACAACAAAACCATATAGCACTGAATTCTAGGAATTTTGAAATACCTCATAATTACCATGTAATTTAAGAGTTTCAAGAATTCTAAAAATTACAATTATCAATATTTAGATTTTGACAATTTCTGATTTTACTCTCATAAAGTAAAAAACAGATATGGTATACTAAATGAAAGTTTATCAGTTTCTTATACAAAACATAGCAAGTTTTGGAAAATATAACTATTTCCTATAAACACAGGAAAATAACAAGGGAAAGAATATAATTATTTTTATGGAAACTTAAGATTCAGTCAAAATGAAGTTTAAATTCATTATATACAGTATGCCCTACTTAAAAGAGACCACCCAACACAAAAAATGCCAAAAGGAATCAACAGCGACACAAATATTAACATTGTATGTATACCTGGGCGAAATGTTATCTTCATCTTGAGAAATGCTTCACTGCAATCGGCCAAAAGATATTTTGCCTTCCTATTATAGATTCGAACAACTCCCAAAAGAAGGTGTCCTGAAGTTCGGAGTGCAATTTTCACCTTTGAATAATTTTTTAAACATTAGAATAATAAATATTACATTTGTAAATCCTGTTCTTTGAAAATTATGGAAACTATATTTCTCTTTGAAAAGCAAATACTATATTCTTAATTCTAATTCTTAACCACTTTTTACCTCACCATATAAAATGATTGACTTTTATTTTTGCTTATTCAGCAAAGCCATGCTTCACTTAAATGATGTATTAGAGTGCCTTTGTACAGACAATCATTTGGGGGAGAAATAAAAGAGATCATTTGAGAAGCAAAGCTGTCTTGGAAAAGTATTTTACAGCAGCCATGGCTAATACAAATTATCTCAGTTACATACCTTAGGTGAAAGAATTTTCTGAATGGTTATCTCTATATTGCATTCAAACACATGGGCCTTTGTGAGCTTCTTCTCCCAGTGAGCTGCAAGCCATATTTTGGCCAGTGGCCCTCGTTTACTCATAAGCACATGAGTGTAGAACATGTTGGCTGTATTCCTTAATTATATTCAAGGAACTAGAGAGAACACAAAACAAATGTCTTAAATTTGACAAGAAAACTTTTTTGGTATTCTTTTACTGTGAGCAAAAAACTTGTCATTATTATTCTACAAAATAATTATTATTCTAGCCGGGCGGTGGTGGTGCACACCTTTAATCCCAGCACTTGGGAGGCAGAGGCAGGCGGATCTCTGTGAGTTCGAGGTCGGGCTGGACCGATAGCCTCCGAAACAATACAAAGAAACCCTGTCTCGAAAAACCAAAAAAAAATTATTATTCTAAAAATTTAATTATTCTATAAAATAATATTCAAATTACTTTTCTCATTAAAAAAAGAGAATCTTAGCTGGGCATTGGTGGTTCATACCTTTAAGTCCAGCACTCAGGAGACGGAGGCAGGGGGATCATTGTGAGTTTGAGGCCAGCTTGGTCTACAAAGCTAGTTATAGGAGAGTCAAGACTACAGAGAGAAACCCTGTCTCAAAAAACAAAAAGAGAGAATCTCATTTAAAATATTATTAAACAATACTAAAGCTCTGTCTAGAAACTTGTGAACCAAACCCAGTTTAAATGTATTCTAATCAATGATCTCAAATTTTCTTTTATTCTACACAGAATATAATTTCTCTTCTTAGAAATGTAACAAAATAGGTACATGAAGGTTTCTGTGGGGAGGAGGAGAAACAGAAAAGACACAATAGAAAGAAGTAGAAAAAGACTATGAATCAAGTCATTTGATTTCTAACAGTTAGGAATTTGATACTGGATCATTAATTTATATCCAGGTGTGTAACCTCATTTTTCTCTTTAGGATGTTAAATATTACTATTATATTATTATTATCATCATCATCATCATCATCATCATCATTATCATCATCATCATTATTCGAAATAGGGCCTTGCTTATAGACAAAGGTGGTTTGGACTTCCTGAACGTCCTGCTGCTTCTTACAAGTGCTAGGAGTACACATATGTACCCCATGCCTGGCTTTAAATGTATTATTGTTGAAGTTAAAACAACAGAATTCCAAAGGACTATAAACTGAAAAAAGAAAAGAAACTACACAAAACAAATCAGAAGTCAGACAAGAAATCACCACTGAATTTTAATATTTTGGAGTAAGGCTAATACAATTTTTGCTTAACCAAAAAACGGGAAAATAAATGGATATTGTACAACCTGCGCTACTGATGACACCATAAAGTAAAAAAATGAGGAGAGACATCATATCACTTTGACTTTTGGAGTACAAATTATTACTTTCATGCATCATCTGAAACGCCTTCATAGAAGCTTTTTTCCTTTCCAAAGTTTTGGTAAATGAGAACACTGAGCCAAAATAAGACAAACATAAAGTCACCACAGAATTAAAAACTTGGGTCAACTTTGACCAATGCCCATTTCCACTGCAAGAACCAAACTAAAGGTTAGACTATGTACCAAACCACAGTCCCTTGGGAGACACTTCGATATGGTTATGGCTTGTGCCCTGCAATGGCTCTATTTCCTTTTAGTATCTTGGAATTAATTCCAAACCTAAGTTAAAAAACAAAAATGCTTCCATTGTTTATACAGAGAGTTCCAGGACAGAAGGACTACCCAGAGAAACCCTGTCTCAACATCACCCCCCCCATATATAGTAAAAATAAAAAGCCCTCAAGTGTGAGACGGTCAAAGTATTTTTCAGTAATAGATTAAAATAATAAATAAGAAAAAAGCCAAATGCTGGGATTTCACACTCTGGAGACCCTGCTTTACTGAGCATGTACAGGCACCTCACCCTGCTGGCGCTTGCTCCTCCTCCCCACACCTCTAACCCCCCTTAGGTTTTTATTTGTTTGTTTTTTGGATGGGGCGGATTCCTGGAAACCCATCCAGGGAAGGGAAGGCCAGGAGGTGTGGCGTGGGCAGGTGTCTAAGGGCCTTGCAAGCAAAGCCGGTGGGTAAGGCCTAAAGTGAGGGCAGGACCTGAGGTGAGGAGGACAAGGACTGAGGGAGGAGCACGGTGAGGCCTGAGGAGAGAGCCTGAGGTCCCGGGGAGAGGAGGGCAGGGAGGAGGCGGCGGTCAGGGATGGAGGGGCAGCCCGGGGTGTTGGGGACGCTGGGAGGTCCCGGCTGTCACAAGCGCAGCGCCCCCACAGACGTCTTGCTGCGGGAAGCCCAGGCCAGAGCTCCTGTCGCGCGCGAACGGGCAAGGTCGCCCCCTCAGGCGGGCCTCCGGGCTTGGCGCCTGGAGCGGATAGAATGCTGAGACTCCAGAATCACCCGGCCCGCCTGCCGCCCCCAGGCTGCTGGCCCGGCCGGCCCCGCCCTACTTTGTGTGGACTCTGAGCCGCGAAGCCCCGCGAGGATCCCAGACGCCGGTCAGCGGGCGCTGTCCCGCCGGGCGAAGGCACCAAGTGGACACCAGCACGTGAGGGGGCGGGGGCGTGAAGGGCGGGGCGGGGCTGAGGCGTGTGCTGTGCTGAGGAGAGGGGGGCGGGGCAGGTGTGGGAGCGGGACAAGCGAGGAGAGAGGTGTGGATGGATGGGCGTGGCCTAAAGCGATGTAGGATGAAGGCTGGGGGAGACCAAGGGGGCGGGGCTGAGTGAGGCCTGTGGGGACCAGAGGTGGGCGGGGTTGGTTGGAGGGCGGGGCATCGGGGATTTGGTGCAGAGGGGGCGGGGCGTGAGGTGATGGAGGATGGTGTTTGAGAAGTTGAGACTGCAGAAGCAGGACAAGAAATGCTGAGGAGAATATTTTCTGGCTGTTGGAAACCTGATGCTTTTAGACCCAAATGGAAAATTTCTGAAATTGCTGGATTATCTATTTTTAAACAAGCAGTTGACTTAAAACTTTCTGTGGCAACTTCTGGTTTTCTGACAGTTCCCAGTGAGAGAAATTACTGGGTCACTGGGACTGTCTCTGTGAAGGTTTGCTTGAGATGAAAAAGGGTATTGCAGCTTCAGCAGTGTTGAACTGTGTGTTTAAAATGTGAATTACTGTTCTTGTATACTGTAATTGATTACACGGGCTGGGGGACAGGTTGTGTTGGTGCTCTCAGTTGAGTCTTGAAAAGTAAATATTAACGCTACAGAAATGCATGAGTTTCGATATATTTTTTTGTCTTTGTTTGCATTGTATAACTTTAACGAGTGAGTTTAAAATTATTTAATTTCCAACCAGGCGTTGGTGGCGCACGCCTTTAATCCCAGCACTCGGGAGGCAGAGGCAGGCAGATCTCTGTGAGTTCGAGGCCAGCCTGGTCTACAGAGTGAGTTCCAGGACAGTCTCCAAAGCCACAGAGAAGCCTTGTCTCGAAAAAAAAAAAACCCAAAACCAAAATTATTTAATTTCCTTAGTAAAATAGCACCATTTGGGAAAACTTGTTTTACGAAGAGCATAAATGTACTGTTTTTGTAGGGAAAAGAGGCCAGTCAAAGAAACACACCCTGAGCAGAGCAAAAGAAACACACTTTGGCCCTGCAACCAGAACTAACGGAATGTACCCTGACCCTGAAACCAGTGCCAAAAGAACACACTTTGTCCCTGGAATCACAGTCAGTGAAAGAAATGCATCTTGGCCCTAAAATTGGAGCCAAAAGGCTAAAAAGGACCAGAGAAAGAAACACTTTGGCTCTGAACCAGAGCCAAATCCCACCCTAATCCTATGCAGAAAACTAACCAATCCCTGAGCAGAGCTCTAGCCAATCTGAGCTCAGCAGTAAAATCTGACCAATCCCCACCCTGGAAGCCCTATATAAACCCTGTGTCTGTTCCTGCTACCAGGCGGTCCTCTGCCACTCTCCTGGATTCTTCCCTTCCAATAAACCCCTTCAATGAGCTTTGGGTGAAGATCTTTTGTGGTGGCGATGGAGCAGGGGCAGAGCAGAGCAGAGCAGAGCAGATCAAGCAGGGCTGTAACACTTGCCCAGAAAACCTTCCCTTGGCAGAGCAGAGTCGGCTCCCTGCTCTGATCCATGCTCTCCAGGAGCAGAGCTGAACTGCAGCAACTTCGCCTGAGAAACCTCCTGCAGAGCAAAACTGCTACACTGGGCAAACATGCCCAGCTGGAAGACCCTGTCCTGCTGGAGCAGAGCTGAAACACTGGGGAAGCCTTTCCCTGAGGCTGGGCTGTAATCAGCTAAGTTTACTGCAACCTGTGGTGGTCCTTGGCTCCCGAGCTCCAGGATACCTTTCCAACTGAGCTGTGTAACACTCAGTATTCTGTGACTCCCGAGTGCCAGAATACCTGACCCACTCCTGTTCCATCCCGATCCACCCGAAATGCCTATATTTGGTGCCGAAATCCGACTGAAATGCCAACAGTATAGACAGAAGTTTCTGTCCCACCTGGTCCTATAGCCATTTAATCCCACATAAACACACAGAGGCTTCTATTAATTATAAATTAATTAATAAATTGAATTATAAATTAATTAATAAATTGTTTGGCCAATGGCTCAGACTTCTCACTGGATAGCTCTCTCTTAATTATTAGCTCATTTCTATTAATCTATATATTTTCACATGGTCATGATTTACCGGTGATGCCTGAGCCACTTTCTTCCTCAGCAGCAGTGGAGTCTCTCTCATGACTCATTCTCTGCATTTCTCTTCCCAGCATTCTCCTAGTCTGGTAGCCCTGCCTCTTCTTCCTGTCTGGCTACATCCTGCCTGCCCATTGGCTGGAACAGCTTTATTCAACAACCAATAAGAGAAACATATTCATAGCATATAGAAGGACATCCCCCATCAGAGGAAGAGGAAGCTGATATACCTGTACCTTATCCATTGTCCTGTCCATGTATTAGAAGTTGAAATGACCAATCAGACTTCTCTATAGATTACGACTTTAAGAAGTAATAGGATGGTCAGGGCTATGTATGGGTCATTGGGAAAGTGCTTGTTGTGTAAACATGAGGACCTGAATTCATATCCCCCCAAAAAGCCAGGGGCACTGGTGGGTGTCTGTGTCCCAGTCTTGGCAGAACAGACATATAGATCTCTAGATCTTGCTGGCCAGCTAGTCTAGCCAAGTCAATGAGCTTCAGGTTTGGTGAGAGACCATGTCTCAGAAAACAATAAGGTTGTCAGAGGAAGACTGGGATGTCAACTTCTGCACACATGCACACACAGCTGCTTATCTGTGAACATATACACCGTGTGCACGTGTACAGCAGTGTAGTTGGTTGATTTTTTTATCCTTTACTCTTTCCCAAACACACACACACACACACACACACACAGACTTATTACTACTTATGAATGCCTGGCCTTAGCTTGGCTCGTTTCTATTATGCCCTAAATCTGGAGCCAGAATCACCACCATGAGACTGACTGCAATACAAAAAAAGTCTTTATTTGTGAGTTAACTCGGGTCCCTCCATCTGTCTAAAGTGGTGGCAGCAGCTACAACAGCAGCAGCAACAGGAGCAGAGCAGGAGAGACCCAGAGCAGCAGGGAAGGGGATTTATACAGTAGCCAGGCAGGAGGGAGGGGCTTGGGGAAACTCCAATCCAGCCTAGCTACAGGCTTGTAATTGGCTCACACCCTCCAAAACTGCATAGTTACAGCCTTGGGATTGGCTCAAGGCTGGACTGGGCTGTTTGGCTGCCCTGGGTCTAGGAGGAATTGTAAGCTTCTGGATGTTGACTGGCTGCCCCTATGAAGTGACAGGAATTTCCAGTCTAGGGGAGTCACCAGCCTGAGGAGATTCCAAACCAGGGGTGTTAAGAGAAGCTTTTTCTTTGAGAGTAGCCTTCCCGCCAGCCTGGTTCTAGAGCCCCATCATGCCTAAATAAACACACAGGAGGCTATATTAATTATGAAGCTGTTGGCCTTGCTTGTCTCTTACTGGCTAGCTCTGCTTTAAGTAATTACCCCATAATTGTTAATCTAAGTATGTCTCTTACCGGATAATAGTTCCGGGCTCCTACCTCATGGTGTTACATGTTGACTCTCTTGTGTTTCTCCTTCCCAGAATCCTCCTGGACTCCTAGTCCCACCCATCTAGATTCCTATTGGCTCAACAGTACTTTATTGACAAATGTACAGGACTTCCCCCATCACAGGGGGAATTCCAAGCCTGCTGGTCTGGGATTGGTCAATTTTTCTAGCTCAGGGATTGGCTAGTTTTGAGTCAGAGGCTGTAATGGCTCCAATTTCAGGGCCAAACTGTGTTTCTTTCTATGGTTATTTTTTGCTTTTTTGCTCCAATTTTAGGACCTGGGTGAATTTCTTTTACATGTCCAGAATCTAGGGTCCAAATGTGTTCTTCTGGTGCTAGTTTCAGAGTTAAGGTGTTTTTTCCTGGCTCTAGGCCTAGGGATAAAATGTCTCTTTTGCTGGCTTGGGTCCTGAATCCAGGATGGGTTTCTTTTACTAGGTTGGGGCTTGGGGCTGAACTGTTCAGGGTTTGTGTAGGGACTGCAGACCAGGGATTTTCTGGGGCCTGGGTCTCTCAGTTTCTAGTCAGTTTTTCTTAAATAATCATGTTCATCTTTTGTCTCTGGGCTTTTATCTTTCTCTATTCTATATACCTTTCTTTACTTTTTACTCTGTGGCTGGGTGGCTGGCCTCTGATGTCCTCCTCTTGTAGGGAAAGGGACCAGTCAAAGAAACACACCCCGAGCAGAGCCAAAGAAGCACACGTTGGCCCTGCAACCAGAACTAAAGAAATGTACCCTGACCCTGAAACCAGTGCCAAAAGAACACACTCTGTCCCTGGAATCACAGTCAGTGAAAGAAATGCACCCTGACCCTAAAATTGGAGCCAAAAGGCTAAAAAGGACCAGAGAAAGAAACACACTTTGGCTCTGAACCAGAGCCAAATCCCACCCTAATCCTGTGCAGAAAACTAACCAATCCCTGAGCAGAGCTGTAGTCAATCTGAGCTCAGCAGTAAAATCTGACTAATCCCCACCCTGGAAGCCCTATATAAACCCTGTGTCTGTTCAGCTTGTGACTGTTCATGCTACCCTGCTGTCCTCTGCCACTCTGGCAAGGGCAGCCACTCTCCTGGATTCTTCCCTCCCAACAAACCCCTTCAATGAGCTTTGGGTGAAGATCTTCTTTTGCGGAGGCGACGGAGCAGAGACGACCCTGGGTAGAGCAGAGCAGAGCAGATTGAGCAGGGCTGTAACACTTGCCCAGAAACCTTCCCTTGGCAGAGTGGAGTTGTTACACTCAGCTCCCTGCGCTCAGCTCTCTGCTCTCCGGGAGCAGAGCTGAACTGCAACAACTTTGCCCAAGAAACCTCCTGCCCAGTAAAACTGCTACACTGGGCGAACATGACCAGCTGGAAGACCCTGTCCTGCTGGAGCAGAGCTGATACCCTGGGGAAGCCTTTCCCTGCGGCTGGGCTGTAAGCAGCTAAGCTTACTGCAACCTGTGGTGGTCCTTGGCTCCCGAGCTCCAGGATAGCTTTCCACCTGAGCTGTGTAACACTCAGTATTCTGTGACTCCTGAGTGCCAGAATACCTGACCCACTCCTGTTCCATCCCAATCCACCTGAAATGCTTACGCCTCTCCTTTTCTTTCTCCTCCTTCTTCCCAAATTTCTCCTATTTAGTCTTTCTGCCTGTCAGCCTCGTCCATCCTTTCTTCTGCCTAGCTATTGGCTGTTCAACTCCTTATTAGATCAACTAGGTGTTTTAGACCGACAAAGTAACACAGCCTCACAGAATTAAACAAATGCAACATAAAAGGATGCAACATATCTTTGCATCATTAAACAAGTATTCCACAGCATTAGCAAATGTAACACATCTTCAACTAATACTCCTCAACACAGCAGGGCAGTGGAATTCATTTACAGTGTAACTAGAAATGAGAAAATGAAGAAAAACTAGAATGAATATCCCAGTTATGAACTAAGAGAATGCAGCCCTATGTTGTGAGGAAACCCAGGCCATGTAAGGGTCATGTGTGGGTGTGCAGTCTGACAGCCTCGGATAAGGCCCCCAGACAGCAGTCACCTGCTAAACCTGCAAATGAATCTGCCTTTGAGATGTGTGGAGCCAAAGGCCTATCTGACTGCAACCGTATGAGAAACTCTAAGGGAGATCCACTTGGGCAGAGCTCAGGCAATTCCCAGATCCAGTCAATAGTGGCTGTGCATAATACGACTGTTGTCATTTGCCTGTTGGGGCAGTTTATACACACTGATACATGCTTGGTCATGTGCCATGTATGAATGACTCAAACCAGAGCCCAATCTGATTGTTTATCATCAGTCTAGTGTGAGCCCTGCCCTGCTGCCTCAAGCCACTCTGTGTTTCATGTATTGAACCAATGTCCTTCCTGCACCTGAGTAGTTTGCATCTGATCTCATTGATACATCTGTTTGCCAGCTCTGTTCTCTCCGCTCCTCAGTGGACAAAGGCCCTGGCTTTTCCTTTGTGCTCCCCCTGGTGCTCACTGCCTGCCCTGGATGGATTCAATTCCCAGCCTTCTGCAACTGTGCACAGGATGTTGTTCCCAGCACTTAGGCTCCGCCTCAGGTTGTTCTGACCTAGCATCAGAACTGAAACCCGTTCTAGGCAGAGAATCCTGGAGCAGGGAAAATATCCCACAGAGGAGCAGCTTCAGGGCTCTGGGTCTACTTCTGAGATTGATGTGGAAGTGGAGGTTGGCAGGGTGTTTGGTCTGTGAGCCAACTGTGGGAAGCTGGGAAGCTAGAACAGGCAGAGGGTAGCAGTGGTGTCATTAGACATGGAAGACCACTGTCCTTTCTCCTTTGCTGGCCAGGTAGCTATGTCTTTTGATGGTGACTGTTAACAAGCTTGTCCATGTTATCACAGTTTCACAAGTTAGCATGCATTCCCACAGCAAGAAGAACAAGTTGCCAATCATTAGTCTTTCCAGGGTAGAGTGTTATATGAAATGCTGTATGTGAATGGCTCCACTTCATATGAGAAGTACTATTAGTATCACCTTGTCCTACATGGGGCACAAAGTGAACGGGCTTCAAAGAGCCTGGGGCAACTCATGTGAGGGCAAAGTGTAAAACATGAGGGGACCGAAGGGATGGCCTGAGACCTTGAGATCTAATCCCAAGCATCAGTGTAAAAACCAGGAGGGGCTGGAGAGATGTCTCAGTGGTTAAGAGAGTTTGTTTGCTATTCCAGAAGACCCAGAACTTGGTTCCCAGCCCTCAGGTCAAGCGCCTAACAACTGCCTGTCACTCCAGCTTTAGGGGACTGCTCTTTAACACTTTCCTCCAGGATTAAAACTTTCCATCCTGCAGGAAGCTCCTTAAACAGGAAGGTAAACAACTCAAAATAACTCCAGGAAGTTCCTGAAACTGACCAGATTCCCTAGTTTCCTTTTTGTAAGAGTGACGACTAAAAGCTAAGAATGACCCTGAGACAGAAGGAAGCTGAGCTGCCAAGAGGAGTCTGAGACCAGACCAGCTGCCTGGAAAAGCAGAAACCAGCTGAGCTGCCTGGAAGCGGTTTAAGACAATGGCACCTGGGAAAGGCGTGCTCCAGTCTGCTGAGCTGCCTGCTGAAGGGACCTCTGCCTTATATCACCCCATCATCCTATGTTGGCTCATGCTGGCTTCCATCAGACCCTCAGGAAGTACAGCCAGTCTGGTGGCCAATAAAAATTCTACCTGGCCAGAAGCAGGAACTGTTCTTGCTATCTTCAGTCAAATAGACCTGTGACACTGCAAACAGATGCCTAACACTGCAACCACAGCTGCTGCCCAGATTGTCATGAGCCAATTACAAAATGAATCCTGTACCAGTAAGTGTCTATTCCCACTCATGTCAAGGTACACTAACCACATCTGGAATTCACCTAAGTGAGCTTAAAAGGGACTGTCTTACCTTCTCCCAGGGTTGACGCCATTTTGGGTGGACTCCAGCACACTGACTTTTCTGTCTCGAGAATAAAGCTGCTTTCTGCAATTTCATATCGGTTGTCTTCTGGTCATTTGGAGCCATCTAAGGACTCTTTACCTGCAGGCTGTGCAGTAAGCTCCAGGTTCCCAGCTTTGTGAGCTGCCACCCACGCCGCCATGGGTTTGGTGATACAGCTGTCTTTGAGTCATTTCTGTTCCTGTAAGTAACCCCTCGCCCATGTTCCTGTAAGAAACTCCAATAAAAGTCGTTTGTTCACCAAATTGAACTTCGGTGGTATCACTTTGGTCTGTCATGAGTTCCCTATCTGAGGTGAGTGGACAATTGTGTTGTATCTCCCCCAAAGAAGTTCTGTCATACAACAGGGATCTGACTCCTGAATACCCCCACACCCCTTTGGATGACAAAAACACAGGAATACACAGATTTTTTTTAAAAGCCAGACAAGGTGATATGCACCTGTAATCCCAACGAAGGGAGCAGAGACAGGAGGATTTCTGGAGCATACCGGCCAGTTAGTCTAGTTGATTGGAAAGCTCCAAACTCAGCGAAGAGACATTGTCTCAAAGAGTAAGGTGGAAGTTATTGAGGCGATACCCAACACTGACCTTGGCCTCCACCCTGATGTGCACACCTGTGCATGGACATCTACACATATTAACATACATGCACACAAATACATAAGAAAATGTAGGGTTGAAATTAAATTTAAAAATCAGATTAACAACTATCTCTGTAATCAGGAACAAGCATGTGAAAATCCTTTTTTTTTCTTTTGTGATGTTAAGCATCAAATCCAATCTCACACAAGATAGACATGTACTAAACCCCTGAGCTACATTTCCATCCCAACTGCTCTCAACTCTTACTATGTAGCTCCGGGCTGGCCTACAACTCATACAATCCTCCTGCCTCAGTCTCCACAAGTACTGGGATTATAGCCACCACTGGCTATACTGGCAAAATTTCCAATTGATCATATTGAGTTCGAGCCAGATTCAGAGCACCAAGTGTCACACTTGCTTTCAGGGTAAATCTATAGACTCCCACCTCGGGCTAAGATATATGTATATATATATTATACATATTATATGTGTGTATGTAATATATGTATGTGAATGTATATTAAATTATAGTATTGTATTAGTTATCTGAAAATTTCATACACTTTTATCAATATATTTTGATCCTTTTCACCCTTACTTCTTCATGTAACTCTTCCAAGACCCACCCCAGCCCCTTTCCAACTTCATGTCTTTTATTTTTATCTTATTACCCAGAGTCCAATTTGTACTGCCTATACACTCATGGGTATGGGTCCATCCTCTGGCACTGGATTGACAATGCACTTAAAGAACTGATTTCTCTCCCCAGCAGCCATCAACTTTCACTCAGTTAGGGGTGGAGCCTTGTGAGCACCTTCCCTACACCTTCTTATAAACAAGAGCACCTCTCTGACATATGCATCCTAGAGATCCTTGTGCAATGGGAGATATTAGAATAGTTAGAACTGCATTGGCAAGAATGGCAAAAAGTGGTGTCAGTGGGATAGATAGGAAACAAGCCACACCTTCTCTTTCTTCCTTTTTTTTAAACACACAGAATTTAATAAAAAGAATTATTAACTAAGTATACAGTTAACTGAGCAGATGAGAAGTTATAAAAAAATCCAAACTAGCAATTACAGGAAGAATTTACCATCCCCAGTGCTGGGGGAACAAGGAAGCTGAAGAATTAAAATTTAAACCACACAGACAGGAGCCCTGTAGCCCTGGCCTACAGGCATCTAAGAAGGGACTCTGGGTGTAGAGAGTGCCTCTAGGCTGGGCCTTGGACCTGTACAGAGCTTGTACCACCTGCTCTGAAGTTAAGATCACTGCTGGGTGACACCAAGAGTTGCAGGAAGCCTACAAGACACTGCAGGGGACAAAGGAGTCAGTCCCTCCTTTCATCTCTTGCCCTGGGGTCTAACCCTACACTGCTTATTGGCAAGGATCAACCAAGCCTAAGAGAAGCCAAACTGCACCCTTGAAGTATGGTTGGCAGGATCCAGGTAGTAATCCCAGAAAAGGATTGTGGTTGGCTTTGTTGAATCACAAACCTATGAATTGAGCTAACCATGGATCATGATGTTAGAGTCAACATGAATTACCCAGTTGTCTAGGTCTCGTGGCCTGTGGTGGCATCAGGGCCTGTTGCTATCAGATAAAGGAGGCTGGGAAGGTCTGCTGGGAACACAGAAAATAGCCAGGAAGTCACTACAGGTATTCTGATTTTTTTTAGCCAAGGCAACAGTAGGCAGCCATCTTTGCACATCATAATCTTTAACAATTACCCTATGAAAAATTTCTAAAAATAGAATTATCATCCATGGTGATAACTTGCTGGAAATTATGTAACAGGGTTGTACTTTTGAAGCATGTATGCATCCAGTAATGTATCACACACACACACACACACACACACACACACACACAGGTAAGTGGTAAAGACAGGAAGTAACAGATCCAAGGACACACAGAAGACACAAAATTTATACTCGTGGTGGGAGGGTTTTGATGAGAATCCTCTTTGGCCGGTTAAGGAAGGGAGCTCCGCCTGCTGTCTTCCCCTTGGAGCAGCTGGGCCAATTCCCTCAACACAGGCTGGCAGCCCCTGCCCTCTGAACCCAGTCTAGCTCGGAAAGGCGATGTGCTTCTGCTGGGCCTTTTATCCTCCCAGTGGGTGCTTTCGGCCCGAAGCTCCTCCAGGAGGCTCTGCAGGTGCCTCAGTGAGAGCAGCAGCTGCTGGTCTTGGATCTGCATCTCAGCCTGGGAGAGACGAGGCATTGATGGGAGTGAGACAGGCACAGTCTGTGTTCATTTAACCCGTTCCCATTACTGTCTCAGTGGAGTCAAGCCCCTACATCCTCACACAAGCCACAGATACCATATTCCCCTGAAGCCTCAGTTTGAATCTAGGAAGTGAGAGCAAATTACTCGCCTTTCCAAGGCTCTAATGAGGACAGGATGAATTGGAAGACATGCTCTGAAGTGTGACACAGATACCACGACTGTATCTTTTAATCTTCATGGTAACAAACTATCCATGTTCTCTAGAGGAACACTAATAATAATAATAGTAATTATATAGGATTCATTAGAATGGTTTACAGGTTGTGGTCCAACTAGCCCAACAGTCTCTATCTACCAACAGAAGGTCCAAGAATCCAGAAGTTGTTCAGTTCATAAGGCTGGATGTCTCAGTTGGTCTTCAGTATATGCCGGAATCCTGAAGAAGTAGGCTCTAATGCCAGTGAAGGAATGAATTTCGCAGTGATAGTGAGAGCAAGCTTCTTTCTTCAACGTCCATTATGCAAGCTGCCAGAGGTGTGGCCCAGATTAAAGGTAGGTCTTCCCACCTCAAAAATCTGAATTAAAAGGGGTCTTCCCACTTTAAATGATTTAGTTAAGAACAAAGTCCTCACAAGTATACCCATCCATTTGGGTTTTAGTTAGTTTCAGATGTATTGACAACCAAGAACAGCATCACAATTACTAACATGCTAGTGAAGCCAGCCCCGCAGCTAGAGTATTTAGAAGTGCAAGGCTTGGGGACACCTAAGTTCCCAAAACCTTCTCAGGGGATCAGCAATATCAAAACAAATTGCTGTACAATAAGATACAATTTCCCCTTTTGCTTTTATTGTCGTATTAGCACACAGTGGGGTTTTCCGGAAGCCAATGACATGAAATACTTCATTGGATACAGAAACAGAGGAAGTCAGTGTCATCCACCTCCAAACCTCTCATTTTCTTCCAGAAAACTTTTCCTACACATTTTCACCCTATTTTAGAATGTTAAATTTTACTTTGTGCTGAAATAACTTTTTCAACATACATTGAAAAGTCACAAAAGGGCAGGTTCCCTCGATGTTCAAGGAGGACGGCTCGAGGATCCATTCCTGTGGGTACCAAGATCTAAGGGCATCCAAGCACCTTACAGAAAATAGCACCATGTTTGAGCATGCCCTGTGTGAGCCTCCTGTGTGCTTTAGGTCATTGCTAGACGACCTGTGTCTTAGTTTCTATTGCTTTAATAAAGACAATGCTTTTCACAGCCATAGCTCCAGCTGCAGGGATGTGGTGCCCTCTTCTGGCCTCCATAAGCACCTGCACTCATCAGCACAAACCTCCACATGCAGATACACATAATTAAAAATAAATCTTTAGTGTGTAGGGGGCAACTGTAGGGCTAGTAAGATGGCATTACAGGTAAAGGCACTTGGTGCCAAGCTTGATGTGGTGGCTTGAATGTCCTACTTGCTTCCAAGTTTGGGTAGGTTTAGGACGTGTGGCCTTGTTGAATGAAGTATGCCAATAGGGGCTGAGATTTGAGGCTTTGAAAACCACAAGCCATTCCCAATTAATTCTCTGTTCTCTGTTTGTAGCAGTCCAGGAAGTGAGCCCTCAGCCCCTTGTGCCAACTATTGTGTCTACTGCTTGCTGCCATGCTTCCAAGCTATGACAGTCCCTCTGGAACTGTAAGCCAAATAAACCCTTCCTCCTGTAAGTTGTCTTGGTCATGGTGATCGTCTTTGTCAGGGTTACTGCTGTGATGAGGCACCATTACTTTAGCAACCACAAGAGGAAAAGGCTTATTTGACTTATGCTTCCACATCACAGTTCATCATCGAATGAAGTCAGGGCAGGAGCCTGGAGGCAGCGGCTGATGCTGCTTACTTGCTGGTTCCCCCTAGCTTGCTCAGCCTGCTCTCTTATATAACCCAGGACCAACAGCCCAGGGGTGGCCCCATCACAACAGACTGGGCCATCCCCCACAATTACCAATTTAAAAAATGCCACACAGGCTTGCCTGCAGCCAGATCTTATGAAGGCATTTTCTCAATTAAGCTTCCTTCTCTCAGGCGACTCTAGCTGGGTCAAGTTGACATCAAACTAGCCAGCACAATCATCCGACTTCTTGTCAATGTGACACACAAATACTTCACCGTTGAGCCACAATCTTTCCTTTCTTGTTCACCGCCGAGATCACACATTAATATCGACATTACAATATAAAGCATTTTACGAACTTAAAAAGTCCCACAGTCTTCAAAAATTCACACTTAAAAATTCAGCCTCTTTTAAAATCCTAAGTCTCTTTTAAAACCAAAATCTTTTCTAAAAGTTTGAAGTCTCTCAACTGTGGGTTCCCATAAAGTCAAAAGTAAGTTTAAACACTTTCTTATTTCAAGAGGGAAGAACCAGGGCACAGTCACAATCAGAACAAAACCAAGCTCTTAACACGGTAAATAACTCAAGGTCCAATACCTGGGGTTCACTCAGATCTTCCGAGCTCCTCCAAGGGCCTCTTCTCTAGCCCCACCTCTGCAACACATATGGTTTGTCTTCCAGGCTCCATCTGGCTCCAGTCCATTGCTCCTGCTGTTCTTGGTGATTGTCTCAAGGTACTGGTACCTCCAAAATGCTGGGGTCTCTGCTGCAACTGGGCGCTTTCACCAATACCTTTCCTGGGCTCTCTTCATGGTACCAGATCTCAGCTTCTCAGCATGACCCTTTTAATGCTGGGCTTTCAACTGCTACTGAGGCACTACCTTCACCCATGACATTCCTGGCCTCTCACAATACAAAGTCTCAGCTGTTCTCCATGACTGCTTCATAGCTTCAAAACCAGTACCACCTGGGTGGCTTTTACACTACCAAGTTCAGCTGCCAGGTGGAGGTACAATCCTGGGTGCTTCTGGAACACAGCTTCTGCATGTTGTCTCTGAGGAAACACTTCCTAGGAGATTTCACCTCAGTGATGCTGGGCTCTTAATCATCACTAACGGTTCAGCTCCAGCTAACCAGCATCAGATGTTCCAGAAAAGCCAAGGCTTTACTTCAGTGGTTCTGGTTGCTAACCAATCACTCTTTACCCCAGCTGACCAGAACCACAGATTCTCAACTCAAAATAACAAATGGTCCTGATAGAGTCTTTAAGGAACTTTCTGGAACTTCACAAGACCAGCCTCCGTTGTCTGCATTGCTCTCAACCTTCTTATTTTCTTCCAAGATCCCACAGAAAAGCTCACCAAGCTTCGAACACGTAATTGTTTTTCTAGCCCAAAGCTCCAAAGTCCTATAATCCTCCCCAAAGCAACATGGTCAGGTGTGTCACAGCAATACCCCATGATCTGGTATCAATTTCTGTCTTTGTTAGGGTGACCATTGCTGTGATGAAACACCATGACTAAAGTAACTTGAGGAGGAACGGGTTTATTTGTCTTATTACTTCCCTTCACTGTTCATCTAGGGAAGTCAGGACAGGAACTCAAGTAGGGCAGGAACCTGGAGGCAGGAGCTGATGCAGAGGCTGTGGAGGGGTGCTACTTACTGGCATGCTCATCATAACTTTTCAGCCTGCTTTCTTATTTATAGAACCCAGGACCAGCAGACCAGAGGTGGCATCACCCACAATGGGCGGGCCCTCCCTCATCAATCACTCATCAAGAAGATGATCTACAGCTGAATCTCATGGAGGCGGTTTCTCAAATGAGGTTCCTTCCTTTCAGAAGACTCTAGTTTGTGTCAAGTGGACATAAAACTAGCCAGTGCAAAATGTAATTTAAAACTTTTTTTAAACAAAAAGCAGAGTCAACTATAGTTAAAATTCTGCCCTACCCCAGCCCAGCTATCACACAACACATCTCAACTTTTCTATAGAGGAGGTCACTGTGTGTGGCTCTGGCCACCAGGAGGACACAGGTTCCAGATGCAGATGTCCAAGAGCTGAGGTCGTAACATCCAAACCCTAGAATGGATCTCTAGCACCACTAAGGAGTAGGGTGAGAGGTTTTCAAACCTTATCTCTCTTTACAAGGGATAATTATTAAAATTATTTTCCCACTGGGTGGTAGAGTTGCATGCCTTTAATCCCAGCATTTGGGAGGCAGAGGCAGGCAGATCTCTATGAGTTTGAGGCCAGCCTGGTCTACAAAGAGAGTTCCAGGACAGCCTCCAAAGCTACACAGAGAAACTCTGTCTCAAAAAATATTTTTCCACTCAAATAGGGTTTAAGAGGGCTGGGGTGTGTTGCTAAATGGCAGAATATTTCATGTACAAGGCCTTAGGGTTCAGGTTTAGCACTGCAGAAAGAAAAGTGATTTTTGTTTTGTGTGTCAAGTCTGTGTGCTGGGAGGGCCAGTTGTGCAACTGGGGTGCCTGTGGCTTTTAAGTCACAGCTGCTGCTGACCCCAACCCCATGAGAAACCCTGTCAGGGTTGCCTCCCAGCTGGCCTGTTGCCTAGCGACCCACAAAGGTCTACTGGGATGGTCTTATCTGTCCCTGTCTCCTCTGGTGGCTCTTGGACAGTCTCCTTCTCTTTCTTGGCTGCTGCACACACATATTCTGGGACACCTCTTTATCTTGGAACGTGGAGAAAACACCGCAGTGAAAGGCATAGTGCCTGGCTTCCCAGGTAGCATGGCAAGTACACTCAGGAGAATTAGTGACCCATGGGTAAGTCTTTACCAACTGGAAACAGGAGACAAGAGCAAGCTGCATAAGTAAATGTTTCCCTGCCTGCTCTAAGGCACAGTTCCTCTTTCAACACTAGAGCAGAAGTCCCACAGGCCGCTGGTTCTTGTTGGCACCTTCTGAAGTAGGAACTAGTGTCAGTACTCATGGTCTGGTCCAGCCCAACACCATTTTCCTCTCTACTGGGTGTCCTCCATCTCAACTCCCTGTGTTTGCACCTCCACATATACCCTTAGTCTCAGTTCTTGTTGGTGCCTCTGCTTTCACAGTTAATGTGCTGGGTGTCCTCTGTGTCCCCCGGGTTTCACCTAGGCACCAAACACTAATAAGATAAATGACAGACAGCTCTCACTGAAGCCTTCCTACAACCCCCATCATGTTGGCATTATTTTTACCTTCATCTTGTGATTAAAGAAACTGAGGCTCAGAGAGGTAAAGACACTAACTAGAGGTCCCACAGCAACAGAGCATCATGCTAAAACCAGTCTGGCCAGCACCCAGTGTCTGCTATGTAGGCCATGACCCACTTTTTCAATACCTAGGAACTCCATTGTATTCTGTGTGGCTGCCCCAGGGAGGGGTACCTGCAGTGCTCACACTTCAGCTTGAAGTCCCTGTCACATCCAGTGAGGTCCTGGGAAGTGTCTGTGTGTGTGTGTGTGTGTGTGTGTGTGTGTGTGAGAGAGAGAGAGAGAGAGAGAGAGAGAGAGAGAGAGAGAGAGAGAGAGAGAGAGAGAGAGATCAGAAGCCTCGGAAAATATAGGGAGAGATGACAAGGCAAAGGAAAAGACTCACCAGCTCCTTCCTCAGCCATTCCAGGGTCTCCCCGAGAGTCATTGTGGGTGCTTCTGGTTTTTCCATTTCAGCGTCCTTGATAGAGTGCTGGGCAATGACTCGGTTACAAGCCTGAGGGAGCTTTGACTTAAATAGTCACCAGCTTCCTTCAGGCTGTCAGCTAAGTCACCAAGGGTGGAGTTAATGAGAGAAGGACGTGGTTCACGTTGGAAAATGTAGTTTGGGATTTTTTTTAAAGCTTCAGTGTTTTGAACAAAATGAAGAAGAAGGGAAGAAAGCAGGGGTATGGATATCTTCATGCCTGATGGTTCCAGGACCTCAGAGAATCTGATGCCAATAGGGATACCAGGACTGTGAGACTAGGTGAGGCCAGTGACGTCAATAGGCACAACGAGGGAGGTCATTAGGGTTTCTCTATGCTTTCTGTGTAGAGTTGGCAGTTCACACATCCCCTCTGGGTTTGATACCCCTTCTGTGGTCCCACCCCTCCCTCCCTCATCCATGGAGTCCTGATGAAGGATGCGGACTTCCCATGCCCCTTAACTCCTGGGATGCTCATGTACCCAGTTCTCCACCAGGGAATCAAAGCAGAAATGTTCTCTTACACATAGGGAGACCTTCACTCTCCTAAAAACCAGGAACTGTCACTGTTGCTTCCTCTTTACTTTTGCTGTCTGCCCCTCCCATCTGCCTGGAATGTGGATGTGATGCCTGGAGCTACGGTTGCCGTCTATCAAACATAAGATGACAGCCAATGAGAGGAAAGGTTGAAGATCATGCTTTCACCAAGCCAGAAACACCATCTGCGTGTCAGCAAGACTGTAGATGCCTTTTGGACTGGACTCTGCTTCTTGCAATCAAATCCAGTCCTGCCCGATTCTCCATTTAGTCCTCACAGTTCACTGTGAAAGGGTCATTCCTTCATCATTCCTTCCAATAAACACTTATCGATTGTCTACTGTGTTCCAATTCTGCCCCAGGCACCAGGCAGAAGCCCCAAATCAGAGACAGAACAGCCTTGTTTTGCTGGTTGATATTCTACCAAATGGAAACAAACAAGACCCAAACTCATGTTACCATGGGAATAGACAGGATGTATTCTCATGTAGGGCTTTTAAAAATGCACTCTTTCCACATGAATTTGAAAGTCCAATTCAAGAGCTACCATAGTCATACTAGATATAGAACCTAGATACAGATCAGAGTGGACCAGCTAAATGAGCCCATTAATGTATGCCGACAGCTCAGGCCATTACAGCATACCCATGGATACATACTTCCCTAGATCCACCCAAGACCCACAATGACAAAACATATAAGGAAACTGCCCAGAGCAAGTAACAGTGAGCAGACGCCAACCACCATGGAATCAAACCTTTCTTTCTCCAAGAGCTCCAGGAGAAAAGTACTATGAAGCCTGACTTGGAGCTGCACGTCTTCAGTCCCAGCACTCAGGAGGCAGAGGTAGGTGGACCTCTGTCAGTTCTAGGCCAGCTTAGTCTACATAGCAAGACCTTATATAAAGCAAAAGTATTAGGAAAATAATTATAGACATAAAAGAAAATTGAAAACAAAAATGACACCATATTAACAAAGAGGATCTGAAATAGAACCTGATAATCTATGCAAGTAAAAAATTCAAGTAAATATTTATAAATCAAGGAGGAGGGTCTTATTTTAGCCAAGGACATGGGGGAAGCTAGACTCTGCAGAGGAGAGTGTTGCTAGGAATTCTGCCAAGCAGTGGGCACTTGGTGGATGGCACATGAAGCATGGTTTTGATGTCCAGAGAGAACTGAGGGGGTTCCACTGGCATGGAGGTGGACCTGAGTTCTTTCTAAGTGTGAGGCCTCCAAGGCAGGCAAAAGGACCTTTTGTTGGATGGAGCCTGGGTTCTGCCTCCAGCTGTGTAGAGGGAAGTTCCCAAAGTGAGTTGTTAGGAGTGCCACGTTTCTTTCACTCCAGGGTTTACAACCCAAGATGGATTCCAATGGCAACACACAGACAAATCTGCTGTACAAATTCTATCCTGGTACAGCTTTAGAGCCAAAGTGTTCTGAGAAATAGCTGCTGACCACATCCACCCAGCTTTTAAGCATGCGACCAGAAATAATCCTTTCCAGGCTTTGTGTCACACGGCCCTGAGATAATGGGACAACTGTCTGGAGCAGAGATGGGTGTTTCAGTCCTCAATTGCCACCTGCAGACTGGACGGGAAGGGGGTCCTTGGCTCATGGTGGCTAATGTTAAGGAGCTGTTTGGGGTGGTGACCAAATGAGCCAAGCAGATCAAGCAGATCTGATCACGTTTTGAATTTGCCACAGAGGTTGCACTGTCACAAGAGCACTGGGTGACAGACATCTCTGAAATGCCTTACTTTCTTTCAAGTAACAGTCACACTAGTAAGTTTTTTGTTGCTATAGCAATGCCTGACATAATGAGCTTAAACTGATTTATTTTGACTCAGTTATGAAAGTTTGGGTTTGTGGTCAGTTGGCCCTGCCACCTGGAGCTGTGGTGAGGCAGCAGACCACAGCACCATACATGGGGGGAAACAAGCTGTTCATGTTATGACAGCCATGTAGGGGAAGAAGGCATGGCAAAGAACACCAGGGGCCTGTTAGTCTCTTCATATGACCGAAACTTTCCACTAGGCCTAACATGTCCAAGGTTCCCCTACCTTCCTAAGGTACCTCAGCTGGAGAGGACATTTACCCACATCATAGCAACCATCTATTTTCACAGAGAAGTTAGCAGGTTAGTGGGATGGTGAGCTGTTGCCAGCCACACACTTTAAGGTCTGGGGCTGCTCCACAGGTCTCCTGCCAGCCTCCGGGATTTCTAGGCATGATCTCTAGGCAGTACAAAAGGTAAAATTTTTTTAAAAATGTGTGGGGATTCAGCTCAGTGGGTAGTAGAATGCTTGCGCAGCAGGCACAAAGCCCTGGATTTATTTGATCCCTAAGTTCCACAAATAACCATACACAATAGCACACATCTGTAAACCCAGTAGTTGGAAGGAAGAGGTAGGATGATCAGAAGCTCAAGGTCATTATTTGATACATA